ATCAATACACAGACTTCCTACATATATATATATACGTTTTTTTTTTGACAATAATGCATCCCTTAAAACTTAGGTTGGAAAACCTCAGTTAAATTTGTTTTTGGGATAGCAACGTGTTCCTTACAGTTTTGACTCATTGCATGCACATGTTAGTTCAAATCTAAATATTCAGATATAATGCCATAAATATTCAGTTATAATGTCAACCAGGGACTTGCGGCGCGAGAGTTTAGATTTCCTCTTTTCACTTTGAACTCAGAGCTGAGCCGATCAGTTTCCATGGTTACTTATCTTAAGGGCTTTTACGAAATCTACTTTTAATCATGTGCTTTTCACCGGCAGAGGAATAAATCTGTTTCCTTTTGATTGATAAATCTCTTTTTATTACCTATGGCATAATAAAAGCTCACATCCGAAAGCTCTTCAACGTACTCTAGCTTTAAAATTACCTACAGGGAATGATCACTAGATAAAAGAAATACAGAGTCAGGCTTGTTTGTTAAAAACAGGTTCTGGTCGCCGTTTTCACCAACGCCATGGGGCACACTTTATTAAAATGCAATATCTCATTCTCAGAGTAATTTCCGGAACAGTGCATTTATGAACTAAAAAACTGTTGAAGTTCGAAGGATCTTCTAGACGTCCGCAGACCCGTAGATATTACGAACAATTGTTACTTTGCTTGCGGTGGATTTCTGTCAATCATTCCTCATAAATTTTCAATTGGCTCGAGATTAACGTTTACTTTGAAGGTAGCAATTATTAGCTTTGATTGACAGAAATTCATTGAAATGCAAAACAAAAATGCTATAGTTTGTTACTGCTTAGTGTCAACGTTTGATTATTTCGGCGATGTATCAAACACTAAACTCTGAGCGATCTAGACACGAAGCCCCAGATAACCCACCAATAGAACGAGTAACGCGAATCGCTTTCAACGTGCAGTGATTTCACATTAGCCTGGTGAGTATGAATAGTTTTCGCTCTCTTGTGTAGCGTCAGTATTACAGAGAGGAAGCTGCGACCGTATGTTTTGTGATTGCTTGTGATAGAGCAAACACTACAGATTTACTTTTATGAAAGCAAAACGCCACAGAAAGAATGCGATCAGAAACCAGTTACTTGTGTCGAGAAATATCGAAGAGTAGGAAAGGTTTTCCTTCGACGAAACCCTAAAGCCAAATGTTCGCTTTCATGCGTCAGTAAATTTTTCCTTTTGGATAGATATTTGAAGGTATGTTGACAAGGCATGTGGATTCGTTGTCTAATCTAGGGAATGCAGTGATCACGTTTTTATTTTCGATATTATATTAACTTTCTCATGGCAGTGCCAATTCTTAATATAGTTCTCTTTAATCGTAAATATAACGCAAGCGTGATCGTTTACACTTAATATCTCAATGGTGAAGTTTTTTTTTTTTACCAAAATCTGATAGATGGATTCTTAGTGTGTAATTCGGATGACACTCAAAGTCCGGAAAGATTACAATGCAATAGCTTTAAAAAACTGGAACTTCATGGCAAGGTCAGGCTGTAATGCGTATAAAGAGCGGTCTTTTTAACAATCTTTTTTTTGTTATTAAAACAATAAGGCATTCCTTGGTTGTTGTGAGGGTTTGTTTGTCATATTCATAACATTAGACTTCGATCAGTTGATTCACAAAAGAAATTCACAATCGGTGAGAACTTTGCGCAACATCTGCTCGCCTTTCCTTTTTCTGTGGACAACTTTACTTTTAGAAAACGAGTATTCATGAAAATGGAAACCAACTATTGCATACTTTAGCGCCTGGGCTCACAAGATTTGAACTACACGTCAGATTTTTGTATTCATTCTTGAAAAGGCAAGCTTCCTCTTTTAGTTTATGGCGCGCAGAGAACTCGATGATTCTGTCAGCGATGTGTATTTGATAATGAAACATACATGAAGCTTAATCTTACGGAACGAAGTTTACATCAAAAACACAAACTTGACGTACTACCAAGCCAGGTTCTTTTTTATTGCGATTAGGATTTAAATATTAAGGTTTTAACCGCGTCTTAATTGTACTCAACTGTAAAACTTGACTCGGCCAAATATGTTAGGGTAAAAGCACATTTGTTAATCGCTTAAGTTTGAACGAAAACGGTTACTCTGTTGGCCGCCATGATGGTTTCTCGACATAACGTCAATGAAACAGAATCATAAGCAGGCGTAAATAAAGGTGATGTGAAACATTTCTTCGCGTAGCCCGACGAACAAATACGGTTGGATTTCAGTAGGAATTTAGTGCTTCATGATGATATATGAGGGGAGGATATGTAATTTTCTAATTGGATTTTTAGAGCCGCCCAAAAAGCAATATATGTGAGACCGCGTGTAGAGGGTATTAATAGAGATAGGAAATCAAATAATAAAAGGTCTTTCCGGCCTTTTTCCGTCCATGAACATAGTTCTGAATTGCCTGTTTCTTTCAAGTGCGATGATGTCAATTGGAAGCAACTCTAAACCAGCGACAACAGAAATAACTAAAGAGAAATAATGATTAAACATGGAAACGTGAGGCGTTAAAAAGGAACTGCAGCAAAACTAAAAGAGAGAAACTTAGACGGGTTTTAACATTTTTGAAATAAGGCTTTTTGTGTCATTCCGCACAAGCTTCAAATCTAATTTCAGGACGCACTTTCGTACAAATATCCCGGCGTAAAAGAAAAAGCATAACCAACCGAGCATTTAAGACAAACTGAAACTGTTCTTCGATTTTTCCGTTGTGATATTTTTCGCTACCCACCATTTTTTAATATTTGCAAGAATCGTTAAACTTTCATTTTCTCCGGACGATTACGTTTAATTGAGACAGCTATCCAAAATATCGATAAGCCGGCTGTCAAATTTAATTCAAAAGGCAAAACTCATTGTAATATTAGTAACAATTCCACATTAGGGATGAAACTTGAACTTAAATTATACCTAAGCGGATATGAATCTAAAAACTGCAAATATTAGAATGGCACTGCATTTCAGCAAAGAAATAAAACTGATCGCTGCGAAAAAAATAGTATTTCTACAATTAGGACTTACGTACACTACAGAATAAAGGGATTACATTTTAGTTTGACAGCAATTTCTCTTACACGATATCATACGAAGGCTCGAAAATTAAAGGGAAAGACCATAGCTATTCACTTCCTTTGAATTTCGTTGAATTTCTCTGTTGTTAAACATACAACATGTGTGTCCAGTTTTAAAGTTGCGTAATCATCATAAACTCGATGTAATTCCTTTCCTTCGAAACGTGTAAGATATGTTTTGATTTCTTCAAGCGCGTGTTAGTCTTTGGATCTAATGAAGATCTAATCTAAAAATGATTACTGAATGTGGATAGTGGTATTTTTTTCCATATTTTGTTATGTTTGAGACGTTTGGCGCAATACACACCCTTTTTCTTGAAAATATATCGAACATTAAATATTTACCTGCAAGTTTCCAGTCTCGTGCTTAAAACGATATGATCTATGATGAACCACATTGAGATTTCATTCGTCGGTGGACATTTGGTAGACCTATGAGTGATTTCAAAACCGAAACTAATCCTAGTAGACGACGAGGCAGTGAAAAATATTTATTTTAATATATTTTCCATAGTAAACTGAATGAAACTTGGAAGTAAAAGTATCACTTTCTGTAACCGAGGTTTGCCTTTGCTCGGGTACCAATGTAACTTAAGTTGGAAAGGTAATGAATTTGTACTCTGTGTTCCCTGTTTTATTTTGAGTTGTGTTACACCATGATTTTTATGGGTTGCAGAAGTAATTTGTCAGATGTGCCGCCATTTATGTAAAAATAAAAGTTTTTGAACTTACATGCTAATTACTAATCAGAGCGCCTCAATCCGCGCGAAACAAAGAAAGGATTACGAAGAAAATGCTTTTCAGTGAAGCAGCTGAGTTCTTCTAATGTTGTCCGACATTCCTAAAACACACTAGCAGAGTGTTTTGTTTGTTGACCTGGCTGGTTTTATTCTCTGCAAATGGATCTAATATTCATGTTTGACAGGTTTTCTCTAGTCCGTGACATCAACATGTATTGTATGATTGTAAGACATGCATGTCTGTATAATTTCTTTGATTACTCTCTAAATAATTGAAGATGAGAATTCGGAGATGTTCAAATACGTGTTTGTCTGCATTTATTACTTTCCAAATGAAATTTAACTCTAACGCGTAATTAAATTCATTCAATAAATACTTTCTGGTTGTCATGAAGCCAAAAGAAGTTTTGTGAAAAATATTTGACATTTCAGGAGTTGTACTGTTGTACTGTGTTAAGACTGAATTTTTTTCTCCATTTTCACTTTAGAATAGTTTAGGCTAGTGTCATTAGAATCTCACTTCACTACGATTTCCATTTTCCGTCAAATTAAGCAGTTATTAGGTGTAAAAAGTAATTACTCTTTCTACTGTCAACAGTGCTTTCATTGGCTACCTGATCAATAGGACATATTAAATTTTGGATGATCTATTAAGTTTCGCCAAGTATGAAGGTTGTTTGACCCACTGAAAATACCTTTCATCAATTATGCCTTTCAAAAAATTTTATGCGCACAGAATCTTCCCAGAAAGCGGCTGGGTTTTATCTGATTAAGTAGACACCCTTTGGATTTTATTCTTATACCAGGTGAGTTAAGTTAGGATTGCTATTTTAAAAAAAAATGATGTTTAACGATCGCCAACAAGCACGACGCACTCGCACGCTAGGATGTATCTAGCACTCCTTTTTAGCCTGTCAATTGGTGAGTCGTTTGCAAACGCACATGAATTTTTCTCCATCATTTATCAACATGATGTGCCGTTCTATTGAATATTCAAAAATACCGCATTCTTTTTCTAAGTTTCGTACCTAATCGGCCGTATTAGGAATCTTGTAAGTATCGTTTAGTCACATCAAATATAATAAATAATGCTAACGAAGGTCGATATGATGACGTGGACCGCTGGCAGATCTGCCCGTCGTAGCTTCGATGCATAATTATTGTAAGCTAAATTCTGTTTCACCTTTTCTCTTGCTATCTCAAATAAGCAAATCTACCGTTTACTCGCAGCAACTTCCGTGAATTCCAGATACTGGATGGGCGCAGCTTTTAAGTGAGCTGAAATTTCCTCATTGAACTCATTGTGAACTTTGTGAAAAAACATTGTGAACTTTAATATATTTGAAATTTCCTGTTTCTTTTTCAGGCTTTACGATATTTCATTATTTACTGTTAAACTGTGCGAATCATGTTTTTACCTCCCATCCGCAGGAAAAAGACGATCCATCGCATGAATTCTTTCCAAAAATGTAATCTGTAAAAATGAAAAAATATAATTGCTTTTTCCCTTTTTCCCTTGGACTGATTTTAGAACTGAGTTTAGAAAATCCCCCTAAACATGGTGAAAGAAACAAGTGCAAATTCATTTAAAACAGTTTCATACTAAGAACTATATGCTGACACGTTTTTATCGTTTAATTAGGTGAGAACACAGCAATGACAGACTCGAACACGAATTTCACTTATCTCAACACCTCACAGCCCACGTCAGGAGTGGGCGGTGGAGGGGGAGGATTTGGCGTCCCCTCAAAGGAGTCAGTCATTCTCGCGTGCTTCTTTTACACCGTCATTGCCCTCGTTGCCGTGTTTGGCAACTTCATGGTAGTAACAGCTTTCTTCATCAACGACAAACTCCGCACTGTGACAAATTACTTTGTATTGGGCTTAGCACTTGCAGACATTTTGGTGGGTGCTCTGTCAGTTCCCTTGTGGATGTACATTTTAAACTACTACGCAGACTTACGGCCTATGGATTTGAGGTTTAAAACCTTGAATGAACTCTATGTAGCGCTGGATAATTTTGCAGGGATCTCCTCCATTCTGCATCTTATGGCTATTTCGATGGAGCGATATTTTTGTGTTGGTTGGGCCGTGAAACACCGCAACACCAAAAAGTACGTCTACTACATTGCCTTGTTCCTGGTTTGGTTCATTTCAGCCTTGGCAGCCTCCATCAAACATACGATCCCTAGCATCAAAACAACAGACCTTGTTCTTTTAACCTTTGTCGTCTTCTTTCTGCTACCATTGACGGTCATCATTGTGTCATATGCAGCCATTTGGAAAATTGCCATGACCAGGATGAACAACAACCCCAGTAAGCGTTCCCTTAAGAGGGAAATTCGCACTGCTACAACCATTGCCTTCGTCATTGGGTTCTTCCTGATTGCGTGGACTCCATTTTTCATTACACTTATAGTAGTGGTGTACTGCCCTACGTGTCCCTATAATTGGTCAGCGACGATCTTTTATAAATTTCTTCATTATTCCAATTCGTCAATCAATCCCATCGTGTATGGCGTCAGAATACCAGAGTTTAGAAAGACTTTCAAGTTCATTCTGCGGCGAATCTACGGACCCATCTTAGCACCATGTAGAAATTAAGCTAGTGTTAGTTTTTGAAAACCCTAAAACGCTTTTCACGGCTTTCATGACCTACTAAACACCATAGTTTTTACAGCGCCTGGAACCTTAAACATTTACCCGAACTCCAGAGCCACTTTCACTTTGTAAGCTATATGATTGATATAAAAAAAAGTGCATATGGACGAATGCAAGTTAAATCGTTGGTATTCGTTTCGATTTTTATTCCCCTCGCTTAGCATTTCATTTGATTGATTTAATTTCAATTTTAGATTAAATTTTTTCATATATGCTCAATTTCGGAGGTAAGTAATGAGAATGCTATATACGCCTGTAAACAGATAATACTCAATCGCAACAGAATTGACTCATCTTAGAAATACAACGTTAAAGCTTATTGACAAGAATAAAATATTCGTAATCTTTTATTCAATTCTCATTTTTCGTCAACTGATGATGATCATCATTATGTTTACTGCTTTACTGATGGCTTTAGACAAGGTATTAGAACCAGGGACATACCTTATTCCAAATGACATCCCCCTTTCGTTCTCATTAAATCCAAGAATCCTGGAATCGAAAATCCTAGGAGGACGTAGAATTAAACTAGGCTGTATGGCTAATTTGCTCACTTGCTACCTGCGCGGTACATACAACTTCATTCCAGGGATATGAGATACATAAAACCCCAAAATAGCCTTAAGATTACCTTAAACGCGGGATTCTATCTCTCAGCTTCATTTTCTCTTTCTGAAGGTCCTTTACAGCCCCTCCCTTTCTCAGAAGTGTGACAGATTGTTATCATCAGTAGACTTGTTCGAGAAAGAGCGAAAAGTCTCTTACTTCTGTTGATGCAGAGCGAGAACTTCTCGAGCCACTTCTTGCGCGTGCTGAGCTTTTTGGGCTGTACCGTACCGATTCTATCCACTCTTATGTTCTATTCAAAACATTTCCGCGTGCACTTGATCGGTGTCAACGCGTCATGTGATTGGTAACGCTTCAGTTAAATATTTATAAACATCCTTTGGTTTTGTCTTGTGGATATTCCTCGATTTTGAAAATCCATACGCGTCCCGATACGAAGAAAGTCGAACACTGATCGCTTCTCTAAACAGACTATGTCTGCGCATATTTTCGCGCCAAATTCAGACTATTGTTGGAGTATCACTAATCTTCATGATGTCTACGCATTGATTTTATTAAGAAAAGGTACTCGTTTCAAGTCTCTCTTAATCAGATTCCTATTCTGACCCACTTTACGATTGAACACTCCTGGTGAGCCCCGGACATTTCGGAGGGGAGTAACGGAGAGTTCTTGATCCCTTTTCACGCACGAATGTTAGAACAATTCAAGCGTCTCGTATTAAAAAGGGAAAACTTCATATCTATCTGCTGGTGTACAAGGTTGCAGGAGAAATATTTAGGTTTTCACTAAATGAAAGAAGAGGTAACTTTTAGGAGGCAAATCACGCCCCACGCTGGTCCATTAACTCACAATTCATGCTTGCCTTACTGTAAAATTAACGCTTCACAATTTAATTTTGGCCTTAATTACTTTTCGTTCGAATCCTTTGCTACCGTCATTCCATGCAGGAGGGTACTACCTCCTTGATTTCAGCAAAATCTGTTATTCCAAAATAAAGAGCTTCTGAGATAACCCGCTGAGGCCTTGCCAAAACCCATTGAACTCCGAGATTTGATTGTGCGAACACTGTACGGCCATTGAAGAAGTTAGTATCATTAGTGATCCCTGAAAAGTTTCTCAATTATATTCATATATAAGTAAATATAAATAAATACTTCAATTCGTAATGAGAAGGTCGGTGACGGACTTCGTAGGTGTTTGAGCACCGATTGTTTGATTGTTCAACGCAGTCAGAATTCTTTCCCTCGTCACCCCGATAATGTTATCTTAAAAATTCCAAATTAACATTTAATGTTTATTCCTCAACGGAACCAGGAAAATGTCTGTTAAAATTATCTTTCCGTCGTGATCTAGGATGAAAGCTGATGAAAACAATTTCTAACATACGTGCGTGTAGAGTTCAAACGGAGCCGATATGTGCCATCTAGGTGTAAATAAAATTTCACGAAAAATTTTATGATTCACCGTATTCAATCACTTATGCAGGTGTTTTTTTAAGAATTTGTAAATAAAAGTGTTACTTTTTGTAACAGTTGCGTTTGAAAATTAAACCAAAGCTCTAGTCATTGTTGCGCTATTAAGCACTGGGATAACGCAGCTAAGTCTCCGTCTACATTTTGTATAGGCCGTCCTCTTCTGAGCGTCTAATTTTTTATAATTTTATTCCAATGCTTTGTTGTATTCAAAGAGAAGGGTCGATCCTATCTTATCATTTTACCTTTTTATCTTAGTTTGTTTTCCAGCTTTTGTGGCATTTTTAAGGGGAATTTACTCAACTGTTTACTGCTGGCGGTTTTTTTGTTGCTGTGTGTTTCATTTGTTTATTTGGGCATAAAATGTTAGTAAAGCTGGACCAGATTCGATAAACAACAGTGATCATGTTTAGATTCGTATACATATAAAAAAAACATCAAAGCAAATTTCCAGCAAGTCTTAAATCACACAGAGGTTTCTCGCGTCGTATCTCTCTGGAAAGTTTGCGTCAAAATGACTTTATTATTTTGTTTCCTGGTTGCTTTCTGCATGTTGACGTTTGGATCACCTTTGGAACACAATGACCGTGAAAAGAGAGGTTTGTTGTTCTTCTGGATAATTTAATGATCAATTGACCATTTTTAGTTTTTATCTTCAACCGAATGGAATTAATCGCTCAAATGGAATTGATTAGATTCGAGGAAGAAAAATGCTCATATTACTTGTAAAGTGAAAAATGATAGTTTTAATCATCAAACTTAATTGATACTTAAACAATAAATATCTCACAAAATGAAGGTTTTTGGAATTTCATCAGAAATGTCTCCGAAGAAATTGTTCGGCTGACCGAGTTTTTAGTTCTATGATTTAAGTTTTGAGTGACTTGAGACCCAACTCGCTCCCCGATCATTGCTCGTTTTCTGAAATTTAAAATTAACATAAAAGTATTCCCTTCCATGAAGCTCTTGTCGAAGAACTTTTCATTGCAATCCTTCTTTCTGTGGTGTTGTTTACCTTTTTATTAGGCTCATCTAAAATTCGCGTCTTTGAGGGAGATATGTGGCTTACGGAAGAGCAGATTCAAGCAGCCGAGAATGGAATGGATCCTAATAACGCTGCTGGAACACGTGGTTTGTCAAAATACCGCAAATGGCCCAGCGGCATTGTTCCTTATACATTGGCTGACAGTGCAGGTGATTTGTTTTTTTTAATGTATTAATGCACAATTAACTTCTGTTTCTCAAGTGGACGTCACAGCAGGGCATCTGGGATCCTTTCCTTTTGTCATAAAATAAGGAGCTACCATAATAAATGTACCAAATATTCATTGTAATTCATAAAAAACTGACTTTTTATTTTCAAACATACAGATAAGTGGTACAAGAGAGGAGCAATTTTCAGCGCGATGAAAGAGTGGCAGCAGAAGACGTGCATCAAGTTTGTTCCGAGGACAAATCAGAGAGATTACATAGAGTTCTTTGTTGACAAAGGGTGAGGCCTCTTGCAAACGAACGCTGGTGTCTTGTATTACTAAATCACCCAAAGCTCCAAAATTCTCTCTTTGATCAGCCTGCCTTGTAAAATTTTCCTTTTTTTGTTCCCCTTTTTCATTCATTTTTGGGCGTTTCAAATCGGAGTTTGACTAATGTTCCTTGTACTATACAACGTGGTATGCCTCTCGGATCTAAATGTGCCTGTACGCCTGTTCTGGAGACGGAATCTTAAACATTTTAAAGGACTCAGCCACATCATAATAATAAAAAATAATAAATTCTAAGGTATTAAAGTTATCTTTACAGTTCTTCCTTTTCCATCATTCCTGCCGCTTTTCTAGGTGTTATTCATATGTTGGAAGGACTGGAGGAAAGCAACAAATTTCATTGGGTTTTGGCTGTGGTTACCATGGCATAGCTGTACATGAGATTGGACATGCTCTTGGTCGGTGGTTCAACTATTCACATGCAGTTTTGATAACATACTCCACCCTTTCTACTTAATAATACATAACACTCAATGTCAAGAATTTCTTGAATATTTACTGGACTGTTTCTGATAAACGGGACCTTCAAACCTTACATATATTTTAGAGGGGAACAATTTTGTTTTACTTAGGTTCTTGATCGGAAACTTCATAAGGGATTACTGAATCAAGTCTTTTCATCTAATTTCTTGGTACAGGGAGGTAAAAAAGCCTGAATTTTTTCGTGTTAAGCATCTGAAGTCGTCGAATTTCTTTTGCACAGTTTGCCATCTTCGTTTCCCTTTTTCATATTTCCTTCAATATATGTATCATTGCAAATTATCACTTTAAAGGCTTTCCTCTATCTTAAGGCGTTTCTTCATAACGTTAAAATGACTCAAAAGATCGTCAAGTAGCTTGTTTTACTAGTTACAAATTGACAGAATGCACTAAAAAAAGGGAAAAATTAACTTGATACCATACGATTATTGAACTACTGATTTCATCTGGTCTCTATAGTTTAAACGGTATTTCAAGCGTACCTCATATAGAAATTAAATTAATTTTCTTGACTTCATTACAGGATTTTGGCATGAGCAAAGTCGACCTGACCGGGATCAATATGTGGAAATTGTGTGGGACCATATTAAAGATGGTGAGACTCCAAGTACATAAAGAACCCATAAGTGCTCTTCACCCGTGTCAGAAGTTGTACGTTTGAAAGCCAAGATTCGAATATCGTTTTTTGAATAGCGCGTCAACCGTCAACCACGTGACACAGCCGAAACCGAAAAATTCACCACAAACTCGCGACTAGGCTCTAGACTATTTCTGATCAAACTTTTCAATTGACAGTTTTGAGCATCCAAATCATTACAAAAAGCTTAAGCTGAATGGTTATCTTAGACGGATGAAACAAGACCCAAAAACGTTTCGGTCTTTAAACAAGTATTGGATCACAAAACCGACCGTACAAGACAGGCTTAGCCTGCCAAACAACGTCTCATTTACAATCAGACACGTAAATAAATGTATAAACCTTACTAGATCCTCCTTGCATTACTATCCAGTAAAGATCCTGGGTTGATTAAGTTTAAAGAGCTCTTTCAGACAGAGTTTTCCAGTAGGTCAGCGTCTTTTTCAAGCGCATTCGATTGTGGCCAACGTTGCTGTTGTTGTCTCGTATCATTTTATTTTATTTAATTTGTTTTTAGACCAGAAGCACAACTTCAGAAAATATAGTCACGGAACTATCGACAGCCTCGGCGTTCCCTATGACTATGGGTCCATAATGCACTACGGGAAGCGTGACTTTGCAAAGTGGCCATGGCAAACTACCATCAAAACCAAGAATGGCGCATCCATCGGTCAGCGATCTCATCTTAGTGCGTTGGATGTCAAGCAAATGAATTTGTTCTATGATTGCAATAAGAAATAAAACTCATTGGAAGGTAGCAAAGAATATCCTATTGCTGCTTTGGAAAAGCGTTTTTGTAACTCGTCGAAAAAGTCAGTTTATTTCACCCCTGCTTCCCCCATTCCAAATAGATATCCAACACATTATGACCCCGCAACTTCATTCATTTACTGATTGTAAAATCCTCGTTTTCACAATATGACTGTCTTGTTACAACTCACATTATTTAGTGGGCTGAGTGACCGCGCACAAAATACAACGGTGCACTTATGTGCTAGCTCCCTGCTAATCTATTTGCAATCCCGACCGGAAAGCCAAAACTCACAAAATCTTTGTCCTATGTTATCCGATATGCACTGATGGTGAAAATGATTGTCATATCTAGTCTTAAAAAGAAGGCGTGTAGAGAAAAGTTGCCAAAATCATCGTATCATCAGTAAAGAATTCGTTCCACGATCTGTCTTAAACCAAACTACAAAATTTCCTTTGAACTGAGAATGCACTGTTTTCGTTGTAGGTAGAAGCATTGGATCATGGTCCAGTGAGAGGTGAATGGAAATATAGACGATAACCACAGGTTTTAGTTCCACAAGAAGTCTTTTCAAAATCTCAATTATAAAACAGTTAACAGAAAATCAGACCCGGCCATGCGAGAGTCGAGGGATGCTGACGTACCAAATTTTTCCTCATATGACACCAATCTACCTTGAAATTGCAAACGCCAAACATCTAATTTTGTTCTTAGTTTTTGGCTCATGTTTGTATTCATAGCAGAATTCCATGGAAATTTTGACATTTGGTGGTTGCGATGCGTACTTACCATCATTGTCACCTAATACATCGCAAGAGTATCATTTTTTATGACCTTACTTGTTACCATTTTAACCCAAGAGACCAAACTTAGCTGAAACAACTTAGAAACGGATGATAGCTGCAACACTAGTGGCTTACTTTTAAAGTTTCTCTTGTCCAATTTTCGGTGGCAATTTTCTAATGTGACATAGTGTCGCAAGAGTAGCAATATAATTTTTACAGTCGAACAAAAATATTTGTTGAAAAAGAGTCAGCACTTTACCACGGTCATTTGGAATAAACGGTTTTTGCGCACATAAATGTATGTATCGTTTGTTCAACTGGCGGCGTCGAAAGTCTATAAAGAGATCCTTTTTTTCCTCCACCTTTTCATGCTGAAAAGTACGGATGAAATTTATATTTTATAAGTAATCATATGTGCATATTCCAGTGAAACATTAATTAACCTTTGCCAAATGAAAGATATGTGACCTCAACTGTATAAATCCAGCCGCTCTTCTTCTAAAGGCCGTGTTAACCTATTCAGTTAGCTTAACACTTAATTTGATTTAAATATATGTATTCAAGATTCTTCAGAAATTTTATTGCCATCTCTTTCAAATCTTTACGTTAATTCAACATTTTTCTCATTTTTCGGATAGGTTTAGCTCGGCATTTCTTTTCAGATTTTTCGCAAAACAGTTACTCTTTTAAGCGATCGATGGAGACCAATTTGCACCGATCCCACTTTTGCACCTTGCTAAGATAGAGCAGTTGAAAATTTCTCTAAGGAAAGGAAACAAAATCTCCAATTCGCAAACTGCACAACTTTTTATAGGAAGAGATTGTTTCTCTATTTCTTCAAGACATCCTCAATAATTTCGGCGATTTTGTCAATCTCATGGCTCAATTCATAAATAATTTTTAAATTCATATCTTTCAGTCAAACAAGGTTTGTTTCATTATGTTTTGATATGACATTTTAACGAGAGAAACAGATCTAATATATTCTAGCCAAATGAGCAAAGAAATTTGTTTGAAGTCAGAGATCTAGAACAACTTATTTAGTACTTTAGGTGCTAATGACCTTTCTCATCCATTCATGTCTCCTTCGTTTGATCAACTGACAGCGGCTTATAAATTCTCAAAGGACGCCACAATTTTGATCGGGCCGTGAAGTTGAACTAGCTGTTTACCTCAATTAAAAGTTCGTGCTCAATCATTCGACACCTGCACTGCGGAAAAAAGAAAAATTTAGCTAGCTGGATGTACCTAATTAACAAGAAAAGTAATCTACGACCATAAAAAGAAGCAGTCAGGATGGACTCTTCACCCTGCATCAATATGTTGCTCGTGCATCTTACTTTGCTCTTTGTGGCTTTTTCATTGGCACAAGACTTAGAGTACTCTGTAGAAAAAAGAGGTAAGTAGGGTTGTCTTAAATGCCTAAGAGTGCTTCCCTGTGTTTTCCCTGTGTTTAAGTGGAAGATCATCACACATGTAAAGTGTTACTGTGAAAGTTATGCCATACTAAGTTAATAAATTTTTCTATTCCACATTTCCTACGTTAGACGTTTTCTCGTGGTGAAGACAAATGAATTTTGCAATGGACTATCCTGAAGCCATCTTTCTTTGAATTACACAGGATATCTTACACCTTTTCTAGATCTTAACAATATCGTGTTCATGTGACAGCCTGTCCTTATCATATATAAAAACAAATTTATTGCTTCAAATAGTTTCAACGCCATCTTACCAAAATCTTGAGTTAAGTTCTTTAGTCGATGGATTACTATAGTGTACACGCGTAAATTTTTGTTGAAGTCAATGGTTTCCGGTTCCTCTCCTCATTTCTTTACTTCAGATGCCTCCGATCAGCATGAAATGTTCGAAGGCGACATACTGCTCACAAAAGAGCAGATGGAAGCAGTAAAGAAAGGTTTAGGCCCCTAATGGCGGTCTTAGCTCTCGCGGATTATCGAACAGCAATTATAGGCTGTGGCCGAGAGGAATCGTTTATTACACCATCGATACTAGTAAGTGGAATTTTATCGCACTGCATGACCATTTTCTTCTTTCATTCCCATATTCTGACAGGTACTGGTACTTTCTCAAGACTGAATCAAGGGGATTTTTTTCTCTCAATATTTTGTCTCTTTTCATAACATGTATGTTCATACTAGAGGGCGCCTCTGATAACGAATGATGACGGTCACCTCAGGGAATTATTCAACATACATTAATTCCACTAGCGCAAACTGACAGAACAATACAATTAAAATAGAAAATCCTCTGAATGTTTTTCATTCCAGTCAGGCCAATAAGGAGAGCAATTATTCACAGCGCAATAAGAGAATGGGAAGAATTTACTTGCATTCGTTTTAAAGAAAGAAGATACGAAAGGGACTACATTGAGTTCTTTGTCGGAAAAGGGTAGGAATTTTAGAGATTTCCTTCTTAAATCAGTAGTATGGCAGTTATTGAGCATATACAGACACGTTTCTTTAAGCTTTTTGCCCTTGGATCAGCCCGAATGTATAACTGGGATTATAATTAGTAACTATGACGGATTGACGGACCGGTCCGGCGAGCCAGTTTTATGAGAAAGCTTTATGAAAGCGCGCGCTTTCTTGGCGTATACACTCGATCCATTTGCCCGTGAGTTGAATGCTGACGTTAGTTTGTTTTGCTTTTTTTTTTTCACGGTAACTTTCTACACGAAACAGAAGATGTTTGAAAGTCTCAATATTATAATAGAAATGTTTTCGACTCTAGCTTCTTGAGTGCTTAGCAAACCTCCCAAGTGCAACCAGAACTCGGTGGTTCGCTAACCATATCTTAAGTTTTAGCTGATATGCAAACAGTAGGATGAGTAAAGGGATCCCTTTACCAATATTACCAAAATATTATCAATATTAAAAGGCGACACCAACTATTGGAAATGTTACCACTGTAATATGACAAAGTTTATGGTTTTCGTATGAAATATTTCCTTCCCTCTCTTTTCAGATGTTACTCAACAGGCGTTGGTCGTTTGGGAGGAAAACAAAAAATCTCACTGGGTTTTGGCTGCATCACACATGGCCGTTCATGAGATCGGACATGCTCTCGGTAATCTAATTCAGAGCGGCAATGTTTTATTGCAAACTGACCTTCCTTATTCAAGCCTTCCTTTCAGCCACTATTTTAATTGATTTTTACACCCATCCATCAATCCATTCATTTATTCATCTTCCCATTCCTTAAGCCATTTCTTCGTCCATCCTCTTGAACCTAACCATCCATTGCCTCCTCAATTCATCCATGGATTGGTTTTCCCACAGGAAGTTTGCACTTTAAGTGCTGATTGGATTTAAAGCTAATATAAATTTACTTATATGGCTAACTATGGTTGCAGGAATGTACCACGAGCAAAGTAGACCTGATCGTGACAAGTATGTGACCATTCACTGGGATAATATTGAAAAGGGTATGGTCAGCTTTATGTTATCGTAATTAAGATTCATGCAAGTGCCGCAGATCATGAGCGACACCTTGTAAAAATTAAAAGGTCACGGCAAAGTTGACCTCAAAACGTCGCCTTCAATGCAAAAAGTGGCTTTGCGGTGGCCGTGAAACAACTTTAACTGTAATTTTTACTAATCCAGTACTGAAATAGCTAATGAACAATTAATGCTGAAAAAAATGAGGAAGGAGTCTCGAGGCTCAACTAGTTTGCTAAAACAGCACAAATTCAACAATGACTCTTCGAGTTCCCCTACAATCGCGGTGATGTCGCTTAATAACAGTAGTAGGACTGAGTGAGTCTTTAAAAACGCGAATAATAAACACAATCGGACGACAGCAAAGTGATATTCCGATTGTTAATCACGAGTATGATTTCAGACAGAATTCGAAGGTCACTTTCCTATTAAAGCACAACCATTTCATACTTTGTTACAGTTTCGATTAAGCAGATGATAGCCTGTGGGTTCAATTATTAGATATCTGGAAAGTTTTTCTCTTATGAAGAACTCAATCTGATCCTGTTATTTTAGGCCAAGCACACAACTTTAACAAATATAGCTACAGTATCGACAGTTTGGGATCCCCATATGACTACAGTTCCATAATGCATTACGGTAAGCGTGATTTTGCTTGGCCACCATGGAAAGTTACCATTGAGCCGAAGCAAAGAGGAGCAAAAATCGGTCAGCGGAGACATCTTAGCACTCTGGATAGGAAACAGATGAACAAGCTTTACAACTGCAATAAAAAATAAGATGGTAAGGCAAAAAGTGATATTAGATATGCTAATTTTCAAGAACATCTATGAAAATGATTTTGAGGGTCTGGGGGATGTTTCTATCTTATTTCTTCACCCAAATGTGAAGTTTATCATTAATACTTATCGAAAGATTATGTAATCTCTTGTTCTTTTGCATTCTTTATTTTCAGAGGTTTCATTTAACTTTTAACGTATTTAGTCAGCAAGTCTTCACAAGAAAATGAGAAAGATAGCTTTTCTGTGAGACCGTTTCATTAAGGTTTGTTATGTAGGGGATGAGACCCCTTCATGATGAAATCTGAGCGTTGATAAGTAACAAGCATAATTTCTGCTGTACCTTTTCTCTATTGATATGAATTACGCATTAACGTAAATAACTTTATTTCATTTGCTAGGCCACCATATCCAAGGGCTGGATCCATGATGGAGATTAAGATAATAATTGTGATAAGTTAGTGGTTTAAGATGAACATCAATAAAACTCTTTAAAATCAACTGGTTGCGGTTCACTAGTTGTTTGATTGCCTTCTCTACAATCCATTTGCAGCTTTATATGCTTAAATAAAAGAAATAAATATGTTTTTTTGTGGAGCAAATGTATTTTAAGTTCGACGAGAAATATTTTCTCCAAATACTTTTCTTTTCATAAAAGGGAAGTCGTCCAAATAACTTGAATTTACCCTTCCTTAATCTGCGTCGTATCTCTGAGAAATACGTCTCACACAAGTACAGTTTATAGGGTTCTTTTCCTCCTAGTTAGTCCAATCAAAGTTTTCAAAAAAAAAAATCAATTTAGCAATGCCGGTATTTTTTTTTATGAAGCAAGAACTTTTTAACTGAAGATCTAAAATGAGGGTAATCCCTAGGCAATAATACTTTCTCAGAAGAGATCGATCAAGAGGACATTATGTTCTTATTTCAGGAACACTTTTATGTCTTAGAAACATTCCAGTCTTATCTTTTTATGGAGGAAAACAAGTAGAATGATCTACTCTCGACCTACATCGTTCCCTAAAGTACATGGTATGAATAATGTCTTAGGTTGGATGTGTATCAATATTTATCAAACTGTTTTGTCGGCACTTTTCAAAGTTTATTACAAAGGAATGCATAAAAGCAAAGTGAAATGATGACCAATGGGTTAAAGCTTGATAAATAAAATCGTGATAAATATATCCTGGATCGTGGCATCCCTCGTCCATGGTGAAAGATAAAATACCGCTTTAATTATAAAATGAATGGAGAGCGGAATGAAAGTGTTTTTTTTTGGGCCAGCAACGTTTACTAAAGAAAAAGAGAAAAGACGCTTGAGACAAAAGAAATTCACGTCATCATATCCGGCTAAGAAATGAGTCAATATAAAAAATCGCAGACTCTCCGTTTGGTCAATTTAGAGTGAAATTTTGCAATATTTATTTCCTAAAAGTAATTGCTTTATGGTTTAATCTTGCGTAGAAATCAGAAGGCAGTAACATTACAGTAGCTGGTCTATTAATCAAATAATGACTTTTTTTAGAGGAATTTGATACCTCAGGTGCTAATGACCTTTTAGCCGTTTTCATCGACATCGTTTGATCAGCTGATAGCGACTTGGAGAAGCGACAATTCACGTCAAGATGTGAAACTTAACTAGCTGTTGATCTCAATTAAATTTTCATACCGAATGGTTTCACACCTGCTTAGAGAGCGAAGTAAGGTTTGTTTAGCTGGATTTACTCAATTAAAAGGCAAAGGGATCCCAGAAATCTCCTGCTATAAAATAAAATTTTTAGGATGGTTATTCAGTTTTGTGTTAGCATCAAAATGTTGTTCGTGTGCCTGACGTTTCTATTACTAGCTTCCTCACTGGGGCATGATATAACAAGAAGAGGTACGTATGATTCTCTAAAAAATATAGTTACATTCAACTGCAGCTTCAACTATTCCCATAATCGTAAACAGCTATCACCATGTGATTTTCTCCTCGTGCTTCTCATAGTTTAAGGGGTGATGTGAAGATTAAGCGAGCCGAACGATCAATCCTTGATATCCTGTTGATGTTGGAGGCTTTTACCTCGCTGCAGACAGTTTTACTTTTTCCGAGCAATATATTAAACTTTGATGTTAGGTTGAAAGACGCTAATTTTAAGAGTTAGTTTTATAAGTAAGAGCTGAACTTCGTCATATTCAGGCACGCAAGGTTTTGACGCAACTTTTTTTTCCCTTTTAGGTGCCTCTGACCAGTATGAATTTTTTGAAGGTGATATACTGCTTACTAAAAAGGAGATGGAGGCAGTCAAACATGGCCTTAGTCCTAATGGTGCCATTGGTGCTCGAGGGCTATCGAGTTACAAAGACAGGCTGTGGCCTAGAGGAATCGTTTATTACACTATTAGTACGAGTGAGTGCAATTGCGCTGTGCGCTACTCTCTTCCCTTTTAGCTTTTATTCCACTGATCTGAAATGTTTTGCATTAAATTTTCTTTAATCTCTACGAACTTATTCTGAAATCATTTAAATTGATTGTTGAAATTATGGCTATTAGTCACACAGTCACAGAAAGCAGTAGGCAGAAACTGAATTTTCTATGGCTCTTTAATTCGCCGAAACTGTGCCAATGCTTGAATGCATGATTGCTCTTCTATTCTATTAAATAAAGATCTATTTTCTTTAATTTTTATCATTTCCCTGCACTATCAACATTCCAGTTGACAATGGAGGGCTTCGTAGATTTTCAGTGCAACTTCACAACTGCACATGCACTCATTGCACTATCAAGCAAAAACGTCCTTCAGACCAGTATCCTTTTTTTTTTATTCCAGTCAGACCAATAAGGAGAGCAATAATCCACAGCGCAATACGAGAATGGGAAGAGTTTACTTGCATTCGTTTTAAAGAAAGAAGATACGAAAAGGACTACATTGAGTTCTTTGTGGGAAAAGGGTAAGAATTTCTCAGATTTCATGGAAAGATCAAAATTAGGGATTGATTGGCTGAGTTAGGGAATCAGTGAACTACATATAGATTTAATTATAATATTTTGTTATTCTATTAGTTCTAACACTGCCGCAAAAGAAGCGATGAGGCTAGTTAGGACAGTTCACGACTTTGACTCTCGTACATCTCATGTCTTTTACATGGTATACCAATTGTCTTTTTGTCAGATGTTATTCACGAGGAATTGGTCGTGTGGGAGGAAAACAACAAATCTCTCTTGGTTTTGGCTGCATCACACATGGCATAGCCGTTCATGAGATTGGACATGCTCTTGGTAATCTAATTAATTTTGGCAATTTTTTTCTGCCGTGAATACGAAAGGGGAAGTTTACCATCCATCCATCTATCCACGTCTTCACCTATTTATCCATCCATCCGTTTCTCGGTACACTCAATTTTTTTGGTTTGATAGTCAGCTCAACCATCCATCCATTCATAAATCAAGCCATTTATTGAAGACTAAAAGAATGAAAAGCTAATACCATGGCCATAAATGTAACTCATGTTTTTAATTTTTGTTGCAGGAATGTACCACGAGCAAAGTAGACCTGATCGTGACAAGTATGTGACTATTTACTGGGATAACATTCAAAAGGGTGAGACCGACTTAATGATATCATTGGTTTGTTAAGTGCTGTTACTTCTCTGTATGTCGTCAAGTGCATGCTAATTGGTGATTTCATGGTACGATGTAGACCGCGCCACTATTCCGGTAAAAAAAAAATTGAATTCAAACTATATAGGATAAGGTTGATAGGAGATTGCGAAAACAGAAATTTAGAAACCTCCGGATAGCCAAATTGAAGATTGTTTTGCCAGCTACAGTTTCCCAACGGCGCTCTGTTTATCACGAATCACTTTTAGATTTCCTCTACAATCTTTTCTACAAGTCAAACTGTGCCTTTTCCAACGATTTTAAACACGTTTCCGCCTTTATTTCTATACTTTTATGTTCACCGAAACGTAAGAGCATGATCTTGGACTCTAACAGCAGATTATGATACGTTTTCGCGTAATATATGGCATGATAAGAAAAAAATGAGTAAAACAAACAGCATCATAACACCATTAAGGGAAAGCCCTGCTTATTTGGGATCATCTACGATTCTGTCAAGGGTCAATTCATCTTATTCTGCCTTCATATCATATCCTAGGTAGTGAAGGCAACTTCTACAAATATAGTCATCATGTAATCGACAGTCTGGGAATCCCGTACGACTACAGTTCCATAATGCATTACGGTAAGCGTGAATTGGCCTGGCCTCCATGGAAAGTTACTATTGAGCCGAAGCAAAGCGGAGTAAAAATCGGTCAGCGGAGACATCTTAGCACGCTGGATAGGAAACAGATGAACATGCTATACAAGTGCAACAGAAAATAAGATGGTGAGGTATCAAGTGGTATTTTAGTCAAAGTTTATATCAAAAACAGCTTGATAGTTATGAATTTTTGCCATCACTTCTCATGCATTTTAAACTTAACTTTATGCAGACGTCAATAGTTACCAATAACGCAGCATCATCTCAATAAAATCATACTACTACTCCTACTAAAACAATCACCACTAGTACTATTACTACTACTACTACTGCTAATTCTACGACTTCTACTACTACTACTACTACTACTACTACTACTACTACTACTACTACTAGTATTACTACTACTGCTAATATTACTATTAGTACATCTGATACTACTACTACTATTACTACTGCTACTGCTGCTACTAATGCTACTACTACTTTTACTACTGCTACTGCTGCTACTATTACTTAATACTACTGCTACTACTAATACTATGACTACTACTACTACTACTACTACCATAACTACTACTACAACTACCACTGCTACTATTGCTACTACTGCTACTACTAATATTACTGTTACTATTACTACTACTACTACCACCACCACCACCACCACCACCACCACCACCACGACGACTACTACTACTACTACTTCTACTACTATTATTACTACTACTACTACTACTACTACTACTACTAATACTACGACTACTACTACCACACTACTACTACTAGTATAACTTATACTACTACTATTTCTACTATTAATGCTACTATTACTAAATACTAATACTACTAATATTATTGTTATTACTACTACTACTGGACGATCAAACTACACTATTACTACTACTGCTACTGCTACTGCTACTGCTACTGCTACTGCTACTGCTACTGCTACTGCTACTGCTACTGCTACTGCTACTGCTACTACTACTACTACTACTACTACTACTACTGCTGTAGTTACTGCTATTGCCACTACTACTGCCAGAGCTGCAGCTACTGCTACTGCTGCTACTGCTACTACTAATTCTACTCCTGCTACTGTTACTGTTACTGCAACTACTAATGCTACAACTACTACTACTGCCACAGCTACTGCTACTGCTACTGTTACTACCATTGCTATTGCTACTACTGCTGCTAAAGCTACTACTATGTCTACTACTAGTACTACTACTAATACTATTACTGCTATTGCTACCACCATTACGACTATTTGTTATAAGAATAATAAAGTGACCTTATGAGCAAACCGTTGAGCTATTATGGCAAATGATGTTGGATGATGCAATTTTTTCATTCGCGTCTTACGACTGCTTTTTCTTTTTTACACCATTTTAGACAATTAAATCAATCTTTCTTTTTCATCAGCGCTTCACAATCAAGGGCTGGCTCAACAAAGGACAAAAGACCCCTTGAAATGATGATTAATAAAAATCTTAAATTGAGGCTTCTTTTCAGTATTGTCTTGATGTGACGTATAAGTAATTATCTCATGTAAAGCGTTATCTTTTTCATTTTTGAAGTGAGTCGTTATCTTTCGACTGCGTATTGTTGGCTTCTCCAAGCGAGGAAGTCACACATATATGATGTGCCATGATTGGTTGGAAAATTAAGGAAAGACTGACCGCAATATGCGTCGGAACTTTACCAACCAAATCGGAAGTGATTACAGTTTGAGAAAATATTTTATAGGTTATTTGTCTAATTAATTATTTCGTTTGATCCCTGATGTATGCTCTCTGCCCTTTCCCTTTTGAAATCTTTACAACCGCGTCATTTAACGGCCAGTGTAATTTCGATTGATCGATTGTTGCGCATTGTGTCAGCCACAGCGAAAGATAGAGCAGACACAAATGCTTTTAATTCATTTATTTATTCACTCCTTGGTCGAAGTTCATCCATCATATGGTGAATAGACATCTGACTGAACTTATTTTTTGGTGTTGCATTTATAATAGAGATTCATTTGCTTAACATCCAGTGGACTGAGATGACTCCGCTGACCAATAGACACCCCAGATTTCCTGGGTCTTATAGTGGTCTGCCAAGGCCAGCGAGCAAAATCTCGCTTGCCGTAATGCATTATGGATCCGTAGTCATACGGAACACCCAAGCTGTCGATCGAACCGTGACCGTACTTATTAAAGTTATGCTTGTTCTCTGCAAAAAAAAATTTTAAAAATTGCCACCTTTTAGCGAGTGAGCGGACTGGATTGATAATCAGTTCGCGGAATAAAGGGAAACCCTGGTCAACACATCAAGCAATGCTGTGCTAATATCAAATCCTTGCTAACAGAAACATACAAACAAAGCTCGAGGTTCCGAATATCGACATGCAAATAACAATTGGATACAAGCTATACAGGTGTCCCATTATATTCGGCTCACTAATTACCTGGTTGGATATTATCCCAAACAATTTCAACATAATCGTCTCGGTTTGGGCGACTCTGTTCGTGCCAGAATCCTGCAAAAGACATTTATTTATATATTCGATAAATAATTTCGCAATTAGCAGTTCGCAAAAATGATCTCTACCATTACACTGCAGGAAATAAGGCATGACCATTCAACTTTTAAGAGCGTCTTACAGCTCATAGGTTTTGGTCAGAGTTTTGCTGTTCCCTTTCCCCGAAGGGATATTTTCTACCTCCTGTAACCTGTTCCCTACCCCGGGCCCATCCTTATTAATTCCATGGACAGGTCCTTTTCAGCTAATATATTCCATAAACATTGGCATGTGGTCTAATACACGACTCAGCTCGTCTCTTAATTATTGGAGTTGGAGTAACTTTTTATTTAGAAAACGACATTATACCCACCCAGAGCATGACCAATCTCGTGCAACGCGATGCCGTGGAAGTAACAAAGACTACCGATTGAAATTTGCTGTTTCCCGTTTTTAAGATTTCCGACATACGACCAGCATCTATATGAGAGAGAAACACATTATCAAGACGCATTTACGGAGTTCAACAATAAAAAAAAGGGGACTTGCTAGTAATATTGAACTGGTCACCTCAAAGATGTCTTTAATAAAACTGAGAGAAGTGTACGTTCCCTTGCCGAAAATTTCGTATCTATATCATCTCTTTCAAGTTAAACCAAAATCTCGACATGCAACTGTAGCTAACACCTCAATAAGGGAAAACGTTGTTCTCCATTAAACACCGGCTTAAGGTCGACAGTGGCAAACAGGATCATTAACAACTAATTATGGACTATACCTGAATTAAGCTGATTTCAAATTGCTAATTTAGATTTTATAGTTCATTTAAATTCAATTTTTTTAGTTGTTCAATTCGTTTAAAACAAGAAAATTAACAACGAAAAAAAAACTTAACAACAATAGCACCTTACCCTTCTCCGGCGAAAAACTCAACGTAATCTTTCTGGGTAGTTCTGGGTACGAATCGAATGCAAGTTTTCTCTTCCCATTCTTTCATGGCGCTATATATTACTTTCTCTGTTGGTCCCTTTATTCCGATTGCATTAAGAAATTTGTTTTCTGAATCGTTGATAAGAGAATCGTTAACATCACACAATTGATGACAAGTCACTACTCTACTGTTAATTCAGTAACATTTCATAAATACAGCTCTATGTGATATATTCTTTTATGATCTCATTTGGAAATGCGTTACGAACTATTTTAAATAGATACTTCTCTAGATAAATATCAAGATAAATGCTAGTTTTTTTTCCGTTTTGCCTGACCAGAAAATAATCTAGTAACCGTTATATTTTTAATGCACAACTAAAGAACACAACGCGTTTCATATCTCATCTTTTTTTAAAAACAAAATAAGCGAAGTGATGGCTATTTTTGCAATTATATTCGGTGAAATCTTATGTCATGGGAGGACAAAAGATGAAAATAAAAAGTGACAGACATGAGATTCTCACTCGCGCTCGAATGTATGGTATAAGGAACCACTCCACCAGGCCACTGGGCGGAGCGTTTCAATCCACGGGCTCCTCCTAAATCAGTTGGATCCAGGCCTTGCTCTGCTGCTCCGATTTGTTGCTTGGATAACATCATGTCTCCTTCAAATCTTTCAAACCCAAAGAAACCTTTGAAATAGGTAATTTCCATGTATTACGAGTCATAAAAAAAAAAAAAATTCAAAATTTGAAAATTAAACCTGACAGAGTGTATATGCAGTTACAGGTGAAATTTAAAAAATTTCAATCGTTGACTGCTCAATTGGGTTGAAAAGTTGCTTTCACCGTATTAATTTGTGTGTAGACTACTTCCAAATCAGGACAGATCATCGGTCTTAAGGAATACTTCTTTACCTCGTTTTTCTCTATTTTCCTTCAACACAGGGACTCCCAGTGAGGAAGAAATAAAAAGCAACAAAAAGATAGAGAACATCTTGAAAAAACAACAAAGCTCCGTAACAGTTAGCTTGCTTCTGATTATCTTCACAGATTGTGGTTTACTTTAACTGCACAGAGTCAGTTTAATAATCCATATTCTCCTCACCTGCAACTTTGACCTCACGCACACTAACAAGTTCCTGTAAATATTGAACCAACTGGAAGAGACGAAGACCAATCGAAAATATGGTAAAACAATTGATTTTTTTTCTTTTCATTTTAGTGTTATTCCAACTGTGTGGGTGCCAATTAGCAAGATAAAGGTGCCAAACTCAGAGCTGTATAAAAGTTTGTTTCTTTCGGTTTTTGTACTGTTCAAGCAATTTTTTGTGAATACACTCGTTGAAATAGCTGAATACCTGAGACCACAGAGCAAGACCGAAGCTGACAATCGGCTAAACATATGGTCAAATTCTCCCATAGATCAAATTGACAATGGTTATGATTTGCCATCTCTTTATTTTTCCGATAGAGGTTTCTCACCCTGATACTTTGGAAAGTTCCATTCTTGGAATTTATCTGTGTTGTAGTGAAAAGAACTTCTTGAATCGCCTCGCAATGAATAGTTTGCCAAAATCAAACTGCATGGCATAGTTTCATTTTAAGTAATATTTTTGAACTTGAATTACATCGCCGAAGTCAGTTAGCAAAAAAGGACCGAAACGTAAATAGACATTTTTTTAGTAAATTTACTTAAGGTGTTAATAAGGGGTGCCATGTACCACCAGTTAAGATCTTTCTACTCACTAAAACTTGCTCTATCCTTTTTTTGGTAGGTTTTATGTTTTTCAGAGGGATCACATCTCTCAAATAGATTATCCTTATGTTTTGCTCCTTATGCCCGACCACTAAATGCCTGTGGGAAGAATGGAGAAAAGATCATTTTAAATGATGTGGGCTTGGGTTTATCTTTATAGGAAAGATAAGAGTATTTTAGGAGACGCGGATCTTGAGGAATATCAGACTTTATTTCCAAGCTAGCTATAATGGACATTAAGTAAATGCATATTACAGTATCTACTTGGAAGATTGCATCTTTACTTCCGCGTTACATTCCTCGTCAAGTTTAGGGTCATTCTACAGTGGAAAGAAATATGTTGTCTTTTTCCCCGAATAGCTGATTTCTAAGTGTTAAGTGCACTTTAATTGTGGCATCTGCAAGTCCTGGGTGGTCACGAAGCTCTCCCAGTATTGCACTCGATTGGTTGCTATGGCAGTATTCCATTCTGAAGTTGCACTAGTCCATGTAAGTGTTGCCATGTCTCCAAAAGAACATTGGGGACAATTATCTTGACATTCTCTTAAAATCACCGTACAAGCGGAAACAGGAGACGCACTACGCTAATAAATGATTTCTTACGAAACAAGAAATTCTAATTTAGATACTTCTGCTCTTATGCGGTATTTTCCACAAAATTTTTTTAATAAAAGAAAAGCAATTGTTGTTGCGTCAAACACGATTGACATAATTTCCTGCTCTAAGACTCTTGTAAGCTTCAGGATGTCTCCATGATATTAAAGAAAGGTGTGATTTCCCCTGCAGTTCTCTAAAATCTCACATAGTAAGTCATTCTTCTGTCTCTTTAACGTTCTCCTCGCTTGTTTTAGAAGTATGTTGTGGTTCCACCTAAAAAGCACAACACCGTAAGTAAAGAAAAAAAAAGCGAAAAGAAAAAGGAAACCCCCAAATTTTCTTTTGGACTGAGCTGCTCGGAATAAATGAAAGAAGAAAAAATATAAGAAAAAATTATCCTCTCCACGTTTCGTTTATATTATTCAGAGCACGTGCAAACATGGTGTCGGTTCCACTAGCAACATTTTTGGATTAAAAGTGGTACGCGATAGTATTAAACATGACTTAAAGCTTGCTTTTTTGTTTATGTCTACTTTATTTACCTGAACAGAAACAAATATTAAAGGGGAATAGTTTGCTTTATCTATTTTGGTTGATTGTATTTTTACCTTCGATGACATTCGTCCACCTTCCATAGTTGAGCCAGTGGCAGTTGAAAAACTATTGTCGTCTGCGGTTCTTAAGAACATTATCTACAATAAACAAACCGTATGATTTAGTTTCAAATTCTAAAACTAAAACATCACTGTCATGGTAATGGTATAATGTTTCCCAGCTTTGTTGAATATCATTGTGATGAAGATATAGCTGAACCCTTTACGATTATGAAAACGAATTTAATTTCGCAAGTGTCGCGCACTATACACGACACGAAAATTTACCCATAAAGATGTTTCCTGTATATGTTTCTAATAAAGTAAAAAAGTAAAGCCTTTATACAGGCCCAGGTGGCCCATGGGGCCGGCGCTTAACTCCGGTTTCCTTAGCATGAAGCGGCTAGGAGTATTGCCACTCCCCCCTGGATGGGATGCTAGTCCATCGCAGGGTTACCTCCGGCATATTTGCTGGTACCCATTTGTACACCTGGGTGAAGAGAAGCACTGTGAGAGTAAAGTGTCTTGCCTAAGAACACAACACAATGACCCTGGCCAGGGCTCGAACCCGGACCACTCGATCCGGAGTCGAATAGAATGCTTTTATCAGTTGCACTAATTGGTGAAAGAAGCAGACGTGTTCATGACACAACTCGAAGCTAAGCTATCAAAAATTACTCAGTAAACTAACCTTTGGAACGAAAACAAGACTCAGAGTAAATGAGGTACTGAAGATGGTGAGGAACGAGGACAAGGAAAACTGGATATTAGGTCGGTCAGCGACAACACCAAGAATAGGAATTACGAGGATACAAGGAATGATGACGTTATACACGGACAAGCCAATCAGCTTGCTGTCATTTAAAGCAGGGATATGCACTTTGCGGGTTTCCCAGGCCAAGAAGGCTCCAAATAATAACAACAGGCCTAAAGATAGAAAGCAATAATGTCACGTTGATTAGTAAATAGTTAGCACCAGTTGTTCATTTGATAAATCTCAGGGAATTTAATAGATTGGTGAATCACTCTATGAGCGGTTTACTTCACCACTTATATGTCTCATGGCCAACATTAATCGCTAGAACCAAATTTGCATTGACGTCAACACTCGAATAAGTTTATTTAAATTTCATTTTATCCAGCTTTATTACTTTGAAGAAACGGACAGACAATGGAAATCGTCTGGCCTCAGGAAAAATGGTCCGGTTTGTTTACAGCGCACGACTGTAGAAGCTAAAAATGAATGGGGTTTTTAAGAATCGGTGTCTGACACTGATCATCTCCCAAACAAGCACAGATCACTCTCCAAATAAGCTTTGATCAAGGAATCTCCCATATTCGCGATGCAAGATACGCTGGGTCGTCCATCAGCACTTAAAAATCTCTGACTACTACCTTTGTACACGTATATGCAAGCTAGCCATATCGTTATGTTCTCGCATGTACACATGGTTATATACGGTTGTATGCCAGTGTCATCTTCTTGTGATACCTATAGGAACAATTTGAAAATTATTTGAAAATAATCCAAGTTACTTTAGCAAAAATGAATTTTTAGCATTCAATGACTTATAGAAGGTTAATGTGCACTATTCAGTGCCATATTAGATTGTCAAACAGTTAACTACAGTCCTAGACTTTCCAAGAATTGATAACATAAAGTCTTCCCATTGCAGTGGTGCAGGAAATACATAATTTAGCACCTATACAGCCCCAACTGAGACTTTTGGAATGACAAAGATTTTCGCCACCCTGGTCTCATGCCTTAATTTCCTTAACCCTCGACTCTTAATTTTCCCGGCGAAATGTAATGCAGGTCCTGTTGATGTTTCAATGAAGTAGGAAATTAAGCCTAATATAGCTATCAAAGTTTAAATCTATTTTTAGGCTTCTTAAGGCCAGACTTGCAAGTCATTTCAGGTTTTGGTGGCATGGGCGCACGTTGGAAGAGATCTCTCTAGAGAGGCGAGTCAAAGCTTTCTTTTCCCTCGAGTTCAAAATCTCACGAATTGATTATAAATTTTTGCTCTTTACCTGCAGCGTCAGGTTTCCTACTTTATTTGTCAATGGGTCGACAATCTGCCAGATGACGAGAATTATGACATCGATTGAAAGAAGAACAGCAACCATACCAAACAACTGACGGTCCCGGATGATAACCTGAAGGAAAATAATTCAGAAAAAATCGCGTTTAGAGATCTTTCGAAATGAAGATTTCGCTACGTTGCAGTTGCATATATCTATCCATCTATACGTCTATCTATATATCTATCTTTCTACTTATCTTAACTTCTGTTGTTTATTGTTGATCTCGTTCATTCGTCTGCCTATGCTTTATGCCTGTCTGTCTTTTTGTCTCTCTCTCTGTCTTTTTTATTGACAACGACTTGCAGAAATATGAGTAACTTGTAAAAACATTGGATCTATGTTCAATTTTAAAGTTGATCGTTTGAGTTTATTCAATCCTGGGTAAATCAATTGTCCTAAAGGGAAGTTGAATGAAATAGTTTTTGATAATTAGAAAAACTGAAAAAAAAAAAAAAACTGGAACAAGTACAAAAGTTAACTCATGAGGAAAGCACTTAAAGTGACTAATGTAACAGGTTGTCAAAACTTTAGATTAAGAGAGAATTTTTGAAGAGTTTGCTCAGTATGCACTCACCTTTTTTGTAGTTTTAGCATTGAGAAATATTACATGAACTCTCCAGGTTTTGCTGAACATCGCTCCAAAGCCTAAGCTGAATCCAATCATTGCAATCCATAACTCCAACTGAGAATAAAAAGGTTTCGAGGAATAAATTAGTAAGTGTTACTGTTTCTAATTTTTCTTTATTTTCTGTTCGCTATTTACTATTTCCCTAGCCCTCAAACATTTCCTTCAAGTTAACTGATGTGAGATGGTATAGTCCATAGATGCCCTGCTTTTAAACCATTTAATTGTTACATTAAAAAAGCGTCTCCAGACATTACTTTGTTAACTGATTCTACGAAAAATACTAGGTCCAAATACGTAGCTCAGATATCATGGTCTCCAAAATTTTGATAAATAAGAATTGCAGTCTACCATAGCTAAAATGAAGACCTCATGGTTATTTTGAGCAAATCAGAAGTTTATACGCATTTACCTGACACAAATAACTTGCTTGCTCTTTGTTTAAGCCGAACAGTACACCCGCCACATAGACAAGTATGCAACCGACTATAATAAGGTTATTAAGATTGGGTGACGACATTTTTATGTACCTAAGGAAGGAAAAAAATAAAGCAAAATTTATTTATCAGTGACTCCTAAGCTTAGATGATGGCCCAAACTCCTGATTCCTTTTACATTATTATTATTGTTATTGTGAATGCTCTTTGCCAAAATATTAACCCCTCACACCTTGTTAAAGGCGTGATTTCTTGTTTGAGCTTTAGAAGCAGATGCATACGTATTTGAATCTCCTTATCTAGAATAAAAACTGTAAAACAGGTACCTGATATTTTGGTTGTATACATTGAATATGAGGAATCCGATAGCCATCAGAATTCCGAGGATTGATACAGCGATGACAAACCACAACACCCCTGGGTCAACTCCTTCCAGCTTTTCTTCTATCCTAAGACCATCAACGGGGACTTTACCACCTCAGCATGCAAAAAAGTAAAAAAAAAATGGAATTTCACTGTGATGAAATAGAAATGTACGTCATATATGGGGGTAAGTTTTTTATACATCCATCAGAATAGATAATGACAACGTGATCACAACTCTCTTCCTTCTCTAAGATAAAAGATCTGAAATGCTAAAGTTATTTTTCTAAGTAGAATGTATAATAAAATATCTTGGCGCGAATGGCACTTTAAATTTTACTCTACTCCTTGAGAAACTAATGACGCCTTCAAGTTAAAAGAAAGAGATTCTCTATAAGTATACAATTGTTCAAACAAAGCAACATAAAAAACAACGGGAATATTACCATCCCAGAAGTAATCATTATTGCGATCTTCTTCATATGTGTCATTTTCCATGTCGTAGAATGCAACTCTTCGTTCGGTGTTTCCTACACGACGAGACAAACAAAGCCTTTAACAGATTGGGTTTGAAGGTAAAATAAAAACATGTAGAGGGGTGTGATACGAGAAAGGCGATGAAAATTTGTCACACACGGTTAGTACTCGCCTTGTATTTGTCGGACCTCCAGTTTTGTTATACGGTCATGGTTGCTGTCGAACTTCACCTGGCCCTACAAATAAATTGAGGAGTTGGAATTCGATAATCGAGAATGGCTTATCCTCAAGACAGCAATGCAATCACAGATTGCTAACGCAGTTATTGCGATTGAGTACAACTTACTGTCATTCCGGCAAATGAAATCCTCTTCATTATGTCGACAAAGACTTTGCTCACGTTAGGATGGCTATAGTTGAATTCATTCAGTTTGAAGTTTTGTTTTTCCAAGACATCAATCGATGCGTTGAGAGTCAGCGCGCATGTCCAGACCGCATCGTATCCATAAGAAGCAAACGTATTTTCAGAATATCCCGAGTTGTTGAGGCGTTCTAGATATTCAGTGTAGAGTTCTTGGGATGTCTAAGAAAATTGACAAAAAAAAAATGAATGCAAAAGATATCTATTTAATCTGTGTTAGCATAAAACTTTATGACCGTGGATCATTTCTCTTAAGATCAGAAACCTCTAATTTGAATATTTTGTCGCGGGTACGAGTAAAGCCTTGGTCACATTGTTTTATTCATTTATTTGCTTATTAGCGATATTTATGCAGGCTGGCCCTGGTTTGAATTGGGGCCTGCAAGACTTTTATTTTGTTAAACAAAGTAATAAACTATAATCACCAAAAGGTCAAAGCTTTCCTCGTATTTTTTTTTCAAATAGGTGAAAATGATGTCTCTACGCTTAGTGTTGTAACTTGTATTGTTATAATATTATTTTTCTATATGTATTTTTCGAGGCTTGTTACGCGTGATCTCGGTATGGTATATAAAAGAAATAAGATTTTCCTTCATTCTCATTCATTCATTTCAAAAAATTGGGTTGGGAAGGTATGTTGTCAACTATACACTGTACATGTTTCTCCCTCGAGTCTCCTTACGTAAAAAGAGAAGTTGATTTGGCTTAGGTTATGTTACATACTTTTCCAAATTTAGTTGGTCCCGAGACAGGACTGAGTTTCAATTCTGCAGTTCCGATATTGTTACTCAAGCCTTTTCGTACTTCCTCAGGAGTACAATCCACGAGAGGGCTTTGCACTTTCCACCAATTGTCCGGATTTCGACCAGAGATCAAAATCCACACATATTTCGGTCCATACATACCTTGCTTGAAAGCCTGTAGATGATAATTCAGACACAGAAATTAAATGATTTACACGTGAAACGGTTATCAGTTTTTGACTAGCGTCATCTAATTTCGTTTTAACAGTCGTATTTTGGGTTTCAGCGTTAGTGTATGGATATTTTTATAATCTAGCAAATGGACCTTAATATTATTGTACAGAGTCTCTGTTAAAGGCTCCAGTTCATTTTAAGTTCGCCGTTCCTTTCTTTTTCAGTCAGTTACGATCAGTCGTTGACGAGAGATTATAAACTGCAAGAGATTTACATACAGTTTATAATCTCTTTTTGTTCATCATGGTATGTCTCCCTTCTGGTTACATTATAAATGAAAGTATGAGTTCAATCCCATCTTCCATTCAGAGACGGGAGCTGGCGATCGCTTCTCACTATGGAAAGATTGATAATGAAATTTTCTTACTTTACGCCCTTACCTCACAAAAGGTGACATAATGTTGATCTGGATAGAAAAATGCAAAGATGATACGGGCATCTTTCCTCTGAGGGATTTAAAATAACAGTTGTGTAAAGTTTATGTCATAACCCGCTGAGGACTTGATCTGAACTGGACATAAATAACCCTATAATTATCTGGATTATCAGCGTAAATTGCGTTTGCTTCTTTCTTCTCATCGGTACTGTCTTCAATAAATTGATGCGATATTCATTCCAAAGTGACCATGGAAAGTTAGGTGTTCATTGTTTAATCACTGAGCGTGAATTGCCTCATGAAAACGGAACAAAACTTTAGATAGTTTACCTTTAGGTTCTTTATGGCAAACTTCGGATGATCTTTGAAACTCTCGTAGGCAAGGACGGTTAGATTGGCAGCACTCAGCAAATCAACAAGAGAATTGCTGATTCCTGTGAAAACGTCGTTGTTTTGTTGCAGAATGGCAACTTTCTTCCAGCTGAATCGTCTAAGAATCGCAATTCGTCCCAGATTGGAGAATTTCTCCGAAGGGTTGGTTCGAAAGTAGAGGGGAAAAACGGCTTTTGACGATAGCAATGGGGAAGAATTTGAGAAGCCAATCTAAGGAAAATAAAATTTGAATAATGCTTTTGTTGTTATTTCAGAAAAAAAATCATTCTCGGTCTCTCCATGTTCTTTCATTTGAAAACAATTCCGAGGAAAGCACCTTCATTCCAAATAAAGTTCCTAATAGGTTTGTTCTCATTTATCTCTAAAAGCAAGGTGTAAAATATTCACCAAAAACCTGGCATTTGATGAAAACCAATTATAGAGCATAATTCATTGTTCCGGTCAAGATCTTTGATCTTCACTTTTCCCCGGCTTCATTAAAATATCAGTTATGTGATTTATCCTGCTCTTAACATAGCAGGTGAGAGAACTTACTTGCACAATGTTCCAGTAATGAATGGCTTCCGCCACTGGCATTGCGGCTTTAGAGCATCCAGGGCCTAGAAACATGATTTTGGGTTTCCCGGATGATATGTACTCCAAAGTTCTGCGGACAGCCTCGCCAACATTGCACTGAGTGTTAAAAAAAATGAAAAGTCCAAATCAGTGCTGAAATTAATCTAGACTGCCTCTACATCGACTATCGGAATTAGATGTGTCATTTCATGATCATTCAACAAACCTTAAAACAATGAAAAAGTCCAAATAAATGATGAAATTTATCTAGTCTGCCCTGCATTGATTATCGGAATTAAAACTGTCAGTTCATGAACATCCGATGAACCTTAATTAATATGACAAACTCGTTAGATTTAAAAATCCTTCAAATCTCTTGGACGTCCCAAACTGAAGAAACGAATTTTCCTGGACGGAAATTGAATTTCTCGAAGTTATCGCGGAAATAAGTGATAATGACGTCGCTGTACCGATCAAAATTATAAACATGAAGGACTTTGGCACGTAGAAATGTTCGTTGATGCTTCACTCGCTGCAGAAAAATAAAGTAGAGTTTTAATCCAAGCTGTGCAAACAAGACTTGTGTAAGCGTTGGGAAAAAGGATGAATACATTAACTATTTCCTTGGGTGTCAGGAAAATTTAAAAAGTGTAAACGAACTGCTTCTTCTCTTGCATATATTACTTCCATATCTTACTCTCAGGGAAACAAAGTGAAAAAAATTGCTTCCATAGATTTAAAGATTGTTTTACTACATTAAATTATTACAATAATCCGCTCCGACTTGTTTAAAGATTCAAAATGCGACTCAACCGCTGTCATTATTTGCAGAGGATTTGAATTTTAAAAGATTCATATGGTTTCTGTGAGAGAAGTTTCCTTTATATTTTACCATTATAGTTCACAAACCTGAGAATCCTTTATCAAAAGTTGCAGGTGATAATCCTTGAGAATCTCCGTGTTGTTGTTTATTTCATCGATAGCCATCTGAACGGCGGGAATTATTCCTGCCGAGTTCCATCCACCGCCACTTGTGTCAATACCAAACAGTCCACCGATGTAAAGTGTTTCTTTAGCTTTACAGTGTGAAAAGATTAGGGGTAGAAGCAGGAAAAAGCAGAGTCTCTTCCTAGCCATTACGGTTTGTTTCGAATTAAGAAACGACGCGTCATTCTTGTAGACTGTCGAGGGATTCGTTAGTATTATCTTTACAAATGCTTTCTTCTGATAAAAACGTGATGAAGTTAGTTTACACCTTCGGGTTTAAAAGGGAACAAATATTGATTAATGAAACATTAATTTCTAAGTCAATAATTGAACAATTCTCATTAGTGCTCGGTAGGCAATCGTATACATGTGCGAAGGATTTGTTAACGATATTCCATAGAACAAGAAAACCGTCTTTTTAAAAGCACCAAAAGATTAAAATATTTGCTAATCCGCACCATCGTTTGGCATGGATTATAATAGTTTCATCTTCCAACGAGACTCCTCTTTAAGGTATTTGAACATCAAACACGGTCTCGGCGCTGAAGCAAAAGGATGCGCCAAGTTACAATAAATAAAAGATCTCATAAAGGTTTGACAAATACTTTTTCGAGAAGTATAAATTACATGCTCATGCAGTTATCTAAACGCCGTTTCTAAACATTCCTTTTTTTACTTTTGGATGAAAGCAATAATGTCAAACGGTGAAAATCGTATCTCCCTGGATTAAGTTGGATGATGGTAAGCCAATCGAAAAAAATTAGAAAGCGAAAGCTTTCTATTTATCACTCCTTTTTATTTTCAATCAACAGCAGGTCGATAGCTCAGATTTTATTTTACCTTCATTATAGACCGGTGAATTTTTGTTTCTTGTTTCCTTTTCAATCACATATGCTCAGCCCCCTTTGCATGTTTTTGCGAAAGAGGTCGTTGCACGATAGCCAATAGGGAAAATATGTCAATGATATAGTATATCCAAGACGTATACAGTCTATACTTAGTGATACTTAATGACTCTTGCGAAATTTAAAGCTTCTCTACCAACAAATACCCGTGGAAATTTGCATGTTTTTAATGCCAAAGCACCATCAAGGTAACCGTCTAAAGCAATTAAAATGATATATGTGCCCCATTAATCTCAAATTCTGTGCAGAAAGCGGATTATTTGCTTTGCTAAGGCGTGCTACATTATTAGAGTTTATTTGTATTCATCACTGATTAAAAACGGGTTTCTTGGAATAAAACAATGTGGAAATCCAAAAATTACCCACTATTTCCCTTCATATAAAGTTTGAAACTTCTCAAAAACATGTAATGTATATATTTGCGTGATGACCATATTACTTCCACAGAAAATTTTTGGTATTGCTTAGGAAGGGAAATAATGGCTCCTCAATTCTTACCAACTGCGTCCAAATGGCTGTGTTGTGACTGTTTACAGGGCTAATTTAAACTAGTTTATAGTCGAAAATAGATGAAAAAGAACACCGGTGAAGGTAAAGGACTTGAAAATACTGATGACGTCTTTGGCATATCAATTAGCTTTAAACTGAAGTGGTTTGTTTTTCCTCCTTCTCTTCTTCCTTTTCTGAATAACCTTCTTCTTGTTATTCCACCAAACAGCATTTTTGGGAGACTCTTTTCAATCTGTGAGACTCTTTCCGATGATGCATCTCTTTTGGCCCAAGAGCATGCCAGGTCCCAATCAAGATGAAGAAGTGTGGGAGGGGGTAGTTGAAAAACTTTCGAGGAAACTTTTATGCAAAATTTAATGTTTCCCCATTAGCACTAATGGGTTAATCAGTAAATAGACATTGCTTGCGACGGTTCCGGCATAGAATCAAGATGGTGAGTAAACCCAGTAAACCACAGAACTCGGACAAAATCGAAAATGACGTATTTCCGAAAGCTCATAAATATTCTTGACTCTCTTGAGTGTTTGTTTTCTTCAAATACGCTTGTAGGTAAATTATTACTCATGTAACTGAAAGGTTCCATTAAAACCATTTTGTTATCGGAAGACAGACTGACTCATTTAATTTGGAAGCGTGAAAAATAATATCGTACCTGTCGTTTCGATGTCAACATTTGATTGACAGCCTAAATTTTCTTTGTCTAGTAGATTTGTTTGACGGCTCTAGGAGACCAATAAGATGTTGATCGTGACTTAGAGTAAAGCTCTCAATTTCTCCCACGGAATATTGCACCGAAAGTTCCAGTTGTACTCATTTGCAACTTGTAAACTCTAATAATTGTACTAAATATCATTCTAGAAATTTAGTTTCAGAAGATTTCATAAAATTCAAAGTCAAACAAAAAGGCACTGACATGAAGACAAATTCGGGCAAGGTGTTTAACGAGAGACAGGTGATTTTGATGTCGTCTGAAAAAAAATTATTTTCGCAAAAAATATTCATGGCAGCTCTGTTTCAACCTTTAAAAATCTTGCTTTTTCATTAAGTCAAGATGAAACGCAATTCCATAACACTTTAAAAACAGTCATTGGAAGAATAACCTTTTCGACTTTCCTTCATTCCTAAGACACAGACAAATGTTCAAAGAACATCATTTTGTATGATTATTTTCGTATTTATACGCAATATGGAAATAGTTGACACTTCAGTTGTACTTTGTTCCTTGAAATTGGCGATTTTACCAGGCCATCTTAGAGAAAATGATTTCCTGAAGTTAACTATCGCTAGTTTATACATACTAGACAAGAAAACTTACCTTTATAAACCTCAATTTGAACCAGGAAATCCAAGGAGTATAGATGAAATATAAGGGATTAAAAGCACCGCAGGGTCGGTTCGTACTTGCCCTTGGTTGATTTCACCTAGCTTTCTTGCTGCTGTTTGCGTTGCCCGCTTGAACATGCAACCTCAAGTGGGGTGTAAAATTAATTCTTTCACGTTATGAAATATTAGTTTGGACAAGATAAACACTCATGCAAATGATCGTGATGTTTATTTAATTTATTTGCTACTATGCCTTATTTTACAAGTCCGCTCAAATTTGATAAAAAGTTTTGAATCAAATTTCTGTTAAGGAAAGTGGTCTTTGCTGAACAGTAGCGAACTGTGTTCAATTAACTGAGAAAAAAATGATACGGAAACAGAAAATGCAACTAATTAAAACAGAGAATATCAGAGAGAACGCCAAAAATACGAGACAAATACCGTGACAAAGGCATTTTACTATCCACAATCGATGTCTGAGATCTACAATGCCTAATGCTTTACAGGTGGGCACTTAAATTAGGCAATCTTTATCCTGAATTCAGTGCATTATGTGTTAAGGAAGGAAATCCGTTTGCTCTTAACTCAAACTCCTTCGATCGCAAAATGAAACTAGTGCAACAAGCGTTGCGCCTATAATTAATTACTAAATAAATAGTAAATTTCGACGAACGACCGTACGACTGACCGTGCAAAGTGCTACTTTTAGCATACGCGGCCAACTGTATTGTGGGCACTATCTTAGCCATTATGTTGTGGAAGGGCAAGGGAGAAGCTAATGCACTTGCGCGATTGCGTGCGTAACTTGGAAACCTTACTAGTGTGCGCCCGTAGACACCGGCAGATGACAATGAAGTGCGTATACTCGATGTCCAGCTTTAGTGCAGCGTACCGCGGGCACACGGTTAGGTATCACATGCGGGCTTTAGGTGGACTAGCAGATGTGAAGCCGCGTAAGCAAATTATTTGTAACACGCGGTTTGAGCGGAAAATCATATCGCCGAGGTTGTAGTTGAACAGTAATCCTCTGTATTTTGAAATTCCTAATAAACTCGCAAAGCAACAATACCGGCAGAGCTAAAGCTTTGTCAACCGGAGGAAATTGTTATAATCCAAGTTAGTGGAGAAAGGGTTTGAATGAAAATAGACTGGAAAGAAAGAGACAGAACGACCAAAGAAAGAAAGAAGTAAAAGGTGTAAAGCCAGCCGAGAAAAAAAGCGCAAGAAAGTTAGGAAAGTCGCTAAAATAGCAGAATACGACGAGAGGAACGTGAAAGAGAACAATAAAAGGTTAAAAAGGCGAATATCTTACGAAGAGCAACATGAAAAGGAATAAAAAAAAACTCCAGAAAACAGACTGAAAAGAAGTCATCAGCAAAAGAAAGGGAACTACAAAGGATCAGAGAAAGAGGTAAGTCGTGTCTTACCAGGGTTTTTTCTCACGCTACGGCCCAGAAAAATTCAAACCTTTTTTTTTTCTTCGGCATTAATTGCTTTAAAATCCTCGCGCTAGTTCATTGCTGGGATAACATTTCGAAGTCACTACAAGTTATCGTTTGGAAACACTTACCATTAAAAACTTGTTACTGGTAGCTTAGGTCTTAAATGTTTAAATTTTCATGGGAGATGCCTTCTTTGAAAGTGGGGATACAGAAGTTTTCAAAATTGCTGGACCACAATGAGAACTACTGGTTCATTATTTATTTATTTATTTATTACTTGAAATAAGCTGTTTGCAAGAAACGAAAAAAAATTGACAATCATACCCTAATGCTTGACATGATTCACTCATACATTTCAATCGTGTATACCCATCACTGAAGAGCTGTCTTTAAAAATGTTTTTTGATATGGCTGTTGTTCATTAAAATTCCTTGTTTTAGAACAGATCTTGCCAATATTTCACTTTTTCAAGGATATTTTGGCCTTCGTCGATATCGATGTTACTGGCTTTTTTAACTTTAAAGCACTTCTACTCGCTTATATAGCGAGCCTCGCATCGATCTAGAACATTCTTTCCTCGTAGCAAAGATCACTGATTCTCAAGGAACTGACTTAGTGAATAATGAAATCGCAGTAAGTGCAGGTAATCTAAATTGTAATTTTCTTTCACGGTTTATTTCATTAATTCTAAGTTTTTACTGCCCTATAAAATGTAGAAATGCTATGTAGGCATATGTCATGCTCGGCTAGTTCTCTTATTTACCGGTTAGTCAGTCGAATTGTGCGTATTGAATTTGACGGGGTGCAGTAAATCTGTGTTTATTGTATTCACTTAACCGAACCGATAAGTCATTCCTCTGTTTCCCTCGTGTTCTCCTCTTTTGTTTTAGAAGCAGATGCTGGATCCACCTAAAAAGCACGACACTGTCAGTAAGAACATAAGGCAGAAATTTTCTTTCGAACCGAGCTCGTCGGAATAAATGTAAAGGGAAAAAATACTTTGCTTTAATTTTTTCTCAGAGGGCAAATCTTATTTAAGAATTTACTTACAATTACTTTCCTTTCCATTACTAACTGAGCAGAGGTGATCTTCGTACGCTAAACATCGATGGAAGTGAATAGTACTCTCCGTAAGATCACTGAATATTATTGAAGAAAACATTTTGGTGGCAGTCATTAAACTTGAGTTTGTTTGCCAAACCAGTACCATTGTTTTTGTTCAAAAGTGTACATATGCTATTTTTTCTCTAATTGACAGCCGTCAGATTGTGACAGATACTTGTAAAAAAAGATGTTTCAAGTTTGTTTGAAAGCCTACTGAATCACCTTAATCCGTTACAGAAATAAAATTTTTTCTGTGAAACCTCTCTCTTTCATTTCCATTACCCCTCTTTCTACTACCATTTACTTATTCAAAAATTGTTCTGTTTAAAGAGGATCTCGCCTTAATTACAGCCTAAATCATCGGGGTTCTTTTGGCAAGTATTTCGTTCAGTTTTAGAAACGAATAAAAATGTTATTCACCAGCTTAGGTCGGTCCCTATTGGGAAGAACTGTGTCCGAGGTCCTGAGTTCCACTCAAGGCCGTAGGCAAAGGACGGCCCTCAAGACAGAGGGTAAAGTTTTTTCCCCAATACGTACCTCTCGGCTGGAGAATAACATATTTATTTACTTTGGCTGATTGTGTTTTTACCTTCGTTGACATTCGTCCACCTTGTATGGTTAAGCCAGTAGCAGTTGAAAAACTATTTTCGTCCGCGGTTCTTAAGAACATTATCTACAATAAATGATCAATATGATTTAGTCTCAAATTCTAAAACTAAAACGTCGTTGTCATGGCGATGGTATAATTTTGTTTCCGGCTTTGTTGAGCATCACTGTGATGTACATATAGCTGAACCCTTGACGTTTATGGGGAAAAATTTAATTTCGCTAGTGTTGCACACTATAGACGACATGGAAACTTACCCATGAAGATGTTTCCTATATATTTCTGATAGAATGCTTTAATCATTTGTACGAAGTGGCCAAAGAAGCAAACGTAATCATGGCACAACTTGAAGCTTAGTTCTCAAAAATTTTTCGATAAACTAACCTTTGGAACGAAAACAAGACTCAGGGTAAATGAGGTACAGAAGATGGTGAGGAACGAGGACAAGGAAAAGTGAATGGTAGGTCGGTCATCGACAACACCAAGAATAGGAAATACGAGGATACAAGGAATGATGACGTTATAAACGGACGAGCCAATCAGTTTGCTGTCATTTAAAGCGGGGATATGCACTTTGCGGGTTTCCCAGGCCAAGTAGGCTCCAAATAATAACAACAGGCCTAAAGATAGAAAGCAATGAGATAAACGTCACGTTGATAAGTAAATAATTAGGACCAGTCGTTTGTGCTCTTTTTCCAGAGAAGAGACATTTGATAAATCTCAGTGAATTTAATAGCTTGGTGAATCACTTTATGAGCGGTTTATTCGCATGTCTCATCGTGAACATTGTTCGCTAGAACTGAATTTGCATTGACGTTAACACTCGAATAAGTTTATTTAACCTTAATTTTATCCAGTTTTATTTCCTTGAAGAAACAGACAGAATGGAAATCATCTGGTCTCAGAATAAATGATCCAGTGTGTTTACCGCGCATGAGTGTAGAAGCTAATACTCTCTGGTGTGTAAAGTGGGATCTTTTAAGAGTCAGTGTGTGACACTGATCATCTCCCAAACAAGCACAGATCACTCTCCAAAGGAGAATCTCCTATATTCGCAATGCAAGATACGCTGTTTCACCCATCAACACCTTAAAAGTCTCTGACTACTACCTTTGTACAGGTATATGCAAGGAAGCCATATCATTATGTTCTCGCAGGTACACTTGGTTACATACGGTTGTATGCCAGTGTCATCCTCTTGTGATACCTGTAGTAAAAATAAGAGAATTATTTTAAAATAATCTAAAGTACTGTAGAAAAAATTAATTTTTGGCAATCCTTGTCCTCGTTCCTTGCCATCTTTTGATGACGTGTAGAAGATCAATGTGCACTACTAAGTGCCATATTAGAAGGTAAACTGTCCGTTATAGTCTTAGATTTTCCGAGAATTGATAAATTTAAGTCTGTCCATTTCAGTGTTGTAGAAAATACATAACTTAGCACCCATAAACACTTAGGTTTTTGGAATGAAAAAGATTTTCGCCATCTTGGTCACATGCCTTAATTTCCCTGAAGTTTCTCGGCAAAATATAGTGCGGTGACCGTTGATGTTTCGATGAAATAGGCAACCAAGCCTAACATAGCCGTCAAAGTTTGAAAATATTTTTAGGTTTCCTAAAACTTGCCAGTCATTACAGGTTTTGGTGGCATAGGTGTGCGTTGGAAGAGATCCCCCCCAGAGAGGTGAGTGAGAGTTTTCTTTTCCCTTTAATTCAAAATCTCACGAACTGTTTAAAATTTTTGCTCTTTACCTGCAGCGTCAAGTTTTCTACTTTATTTGTCAATGGGTCGACAATCTGCCACGTGACGAGAATTATGATATCAATTAAAAGAAGAACAGCAACCATACCAAACAACTGACGGTCCCGGATGATAACCTGCAAGGAAATTATTCATAACAAATCGCACTTAGGCATCTTTCTGGCTCTATCTTACAGTTGTATCTATCTATCCATCTATCATTTATTTATGTCTCCATCTACATATTTATCTTTCTACCTATCTGAACTGCTATTGTTTATCATTTATCTGGCTCTTTTATTTGCTTATACTTTATGTCTGTCTCTCTTTCTGACTTTTTCTCTGTCTATTTATTGACAACGACTCGCAGAAATATGAGTAACCTCTAAAAAAATTGGATCTATGTTTAATTTCAAAGTTGATCGTTTGATTTTATTCAATCCTGGGTGACTCAATTGTCCTAAGGGGGAAGTTGGGTGAAATGGCATTTGATAATTAGAAAAACTGGAAAACAAATCGGAGCAAGTACAAAAAATATCTTATAAACAAAAAGAACTGAAAGTGGCTAATGTCACAGGTTGTCAAAACCTTAGATAAAGAGAAAATCTTTGAAGAATTTGCTCAGTATACACTCACCCTTTTTGTAGTTTTAGCATTGAGAAATATTACATGAACTCTCCAGGTTTTGCTGAACATCGCTCCAAAGCCTAAGCTGAATCCAATCATTGCAATCCATAACTCCAACTAAGTAAAAAAAGTTTCCAAGGAATGAAGTAAGTGAGCGTCGCTGTTTATATTTTTTTTAATTGATTTTTTGCTATTAACTCTTTCCTTGAGAAAATTCAGTCTATTATCTTTCCTTAGCTCTCATACATTCCTTCAAATTAATTGATGAAAAACGATGAGGTCAACAGATACCCTACTTTTAAACCATTTCATTGCTCCATAAATAAAGTGCCTTGAGAAATTGCTTTGTTAACTGATTCCACGAAAAAGATCAGGTCGAAGATATGAAGTTCAGATATCATGGCTTATAAAATTTAGGAATTGCAATTTACGACAGCCAAAAACAAGATCTGGTTGATTTTTTTGAGGAAGAAACGCATTTACCTGGCACAAATAACTTGCTTGCTCTTTGTCTAAGCCGAACAGTACACCCGCCACGTAAATAAGTATGCAACCAGCTATGATTACGTTATTAAGATTAGGTGACGACATTTTTATGTACCTAAAGAAGGGAGAAAAATAAAGCCAAATTATATTAATGATGATGGCCCAGCTCCTTGATTCCCTTTATTTTATTATTATTATTATTATTATTATTATTATTATTATTGTACCATTATTCATTAACCTTATACCTCGTTAAAGGCGTTATTGAGTATTGCGTGACGCAACGTTTGGTTGTTTGAGCATTTGGACGTTGTTGTTAAAGATCTTCATTTCGGGGACGAAAGATTTGTATTCGGCGTTCTTTCTTTAACAAACAAAAACAAAAACAAAACTGTGAAACAGATACCTGATATTTTGGTTGTATACATTGAATATGAGGAATGCGATGGCCATTAGAACTCCGAGGATTGATACAGCGATAACAAACCACAAGACCCCTGGATCGACTCCTTCCAGCTTTTCTTCTATTCTTAGACCATCGACGGGGACTTTACCACCTTAACGAGCAGAAAAAAAAAATTTCACTCTGATGAAGAAGAGGTGCACAGCATAACTGAATCGGAAGGTAAGGTTTTTATATATTAATCTATATAAAACTAGATGATAACACATACGATCGTGTGATCGTAGTGTTACAATTATCTTCCCTCGCTAAGATAAAAGATCAGTAATACAAAAGTTATTTTCCTCTGTAAATGTATAATAAAAGATCTTAGCGCAAATGGCACTTCAAATTTAATGCTTCTCCTTGAAAAACTAGTTGCGGTTTCAAGTTTAAAAAAAGAGATTCTATAGAAGTATACAATTACTTCAAATAAAATAAAATGAAGTTATATATCTGTAACATGAATCTTACCATCCCATAAGTAAACACTATTGGTATCCTCTTCGAGAGTGTCTTTTTCCATGTCGTAGAATGCAACTCTTCGTTGGGTGTTTCCTACACGACGAGACAAACAAAAAAGATTGGCTTTGAAGGTATACCAAAGACCTCTAGCAGGGTGTCACACGAGAAAAGCGACAGAAATTTACCGTACACGGTCAGTACTTGCCTTGTATTTGTCGGACCTCCAGTTTTGTTATACGATCATGATTACTGTCGAACTTCACCTGGCCCTACAAATAAATTGAAGAGTTGAAATTCAATAATCTGGAGAACGGCTTTTCCTTCCAAACAACAACCACAGATTGCTAACACAGCCCCCGCGATTGAGTGCAACTTACTGTCATTCCAGCGAATGAAATCCTCTTCATTATGTCGACAAAGACTTTGCTCACGTTAGGAAGGCTATAGTTGAATTCATTCAGTTTGAAGTTCTGTTTTTCCAAGACATCAATTGATGCGTTGAGAGTCAGTGCGCATGTCCAGGCCGCGTCGTATCCATAAGAGGCAAACGTATTTTCGGAATATCCCGAGTTGTTGAGGCGTTCTAGATATTCAGTGTAGAGTTCTTGGGGCGTCTGAGAAAAATGACCAAAAAAATAATGACTGCAGAAGATATCCAGTCAATGTGTGTGAGCATAAAACTTCATGACCGTGAATCATTTCTTTTAAGATTAGAAACCTCTCATTTAGGAATTATTCTATCGCGGGTACGAGTAAAGCGTTGGTCACATTATTGAAACTACAAATAGGTCAAAGTTTTCCTCATATCTTTATTTAAGTATGTTAAAAAGTTGTCTCTATGCTTAGTGTTGAAACTTGTATTGTTATGTAATATTGTTTTTCTATACGTGTGTTTCATGGCTTGTTGTTATGTCAACCCTGTATGGTATATAAAAGAAATTATATTTTCTCTCGTTCTTAGTCATTTATTTAAAAAACTCAGGTTTGGAAGGTTTGTCGTCAGCTATACACTGTACATGTTTCTCCCTCGCGTCTCCTCACGTAAGAGGAGAGACAACGATTTGGCTTGGGGTTATGTTACATACCTTTCCAAATTTAGTTGGTCCTGAGACAGGACTGAGTTTCAATTCTGCAGTTCCGATATTGTTACTCAGGCCTTTTCGCACTTCTTCCGGTGTACAATCCACTAGAGGACTCTGCACTTTCCACCAATTGTCCTGAAATCGACCAGAGAACAAAATCCACACATATTTCGGTCCATACATACCTTTCTTGAAAGCCTGTAGATTGTAATTAAGACAGAAAATAACTGATTTACACGTGAAACGATTATCAATCCTTGACCAATGTAATAATTTTGTTATAATAGTCGTACTTTGGGTTTCAGCGTTTATGTATGGATATTTCTCTAATCTTGCAAACGGACCTTAATGTTGTTGTACAGAGTCTCTGTTAATTGAAGGCTCCAGTTAATTTAAAGTTTGCCGTTCCTTTCTTTTTCAGCCATTTACGATCAGTCGTTGACAAGAGATTATAAACTGCAAGAGATCTATGTACAGTTTATAAGCTCTTTTTGTTCATCATGGTATGTCTCCCTTCTAGTTACATCGTAAATTAAAGTATGGGTTCAATGCCATCTTCCATTCAGAGACGGGAGCTAGCGATCGTTTCTCGCTCACTCTGGAAAGATTGACAATTCATCGGAGATGAAATTTCTTACTTTACGCCCTTACCTCACAAAAGGTGATATAATGTTGATCTTGATAGAAAAATGCAAAGATGATACGGGCATCTTTCCTCTAAGGGATTGAAAGTAGCATTTATGTAAAGTGTATGCCATAACCCGCTGAGGACTTGAGACTGGACAAAAATAACCTCACTTACGTAATTACTAAGATTATCAGAGTAAACTGGGTTTTCTTCTTTCTCCTGATCAGTACTGTCTTCAATAAACCAATATGATATTCATTCCGAAGTGACGAGGGGTACATTGTTTAAACACTAAGCATGAAATGTCTCATGAAAACAAAACGAAACTTAAGTAGTTTACCTTCAGGTTCTCTATGGCAATCTTCGGATGATCTTTGAAACTCTCGTAGGCAAGCACGGTTATATTGGTAGCACCCAGCATATCAATAAGAGAGTTGCTGATTCCTGTGAAAACGTCGTTGTTTTGTTGCAGAATGGCAACTTTCTTCCAGTTGAATCGTCGAAGAATCGCAATTCGTCCCAGATTGGAGAATTTCTCCGAAGGGTTGGTTCGAAAGTAGAGGGGAAAAACGGCTTTTGACGATAGCAATGGGGAAGAATTTGAGAAGCCAATCTAAGGAGAGGGAAATTTAGATTATGCTCTTGTTATTTTTTTTTTTTTAAAAAGCCCTTCTTTCTTCCTTTTTTTTTTTTTTACATTTTCTCCATTTGTTTTCATTTGAATACAATTCCGAGGACGACACCTTCATTCCAAGCAAAGTTCTCAACAGGTTTGTATTCATTTATCTCTAATTGCAGGAGTAAAATATTGCCAAAAACCTGTTAATAAATGAAAACCAGCCATAGTGCGTTATTTAATGTTCCTATCTCACATTCCCCTAGCTTCATTAAAAAAGCCAATTATGTGATTTATGAACATAGAAGATAAGATAACTTACCTGCACAATGTTCCAGTTATGAATGGCTCCAGCTACTGGCATTGTGGCTTTAGAGCATCCGGGGCCTAGAAACATGATTTTGGGTTTCCCGGATGATATGTACTCCAGGGTTCTGCGGACAGCCTCGCCAACATTGCACTGAGTGTTAAAAAAATGAAAAGTCCAAATCTGTACTGAAATTAATCTAGACTGCCTCTACATTGACTATCGGAATTAGATGTGTCATTTCATGATCATCCAGTAAACCTTAATTAATATGACAACCTTTAATGATCCTTCAAATCGCTTGCATGTCCCAAACTGAAGAAACGAACTTTCTTGGACAGAAATTAAATTTCTTGAAGTTATCGCGAAAATAAGCAATTTTATGTCATTGTGCCGATCAAAACTATAAACAAGAATGACCTTGATACGTAAAAATGTTTGATACCCCATTGGTTACACAAACATCAGAAAATTTTTAATCCAAGCTGTGCTAACAAGACCCGTGTAAGCGTTGGGACAAAGGATGAATACGTGAACTGTTTCCTCGGGTGTCAAGAGAATCTCGAAATATGTCAACTAACTACTTGCATATATTATTTCCTTACCTTACACTCAGGAAAACAAAGAGGAAAAAATTGCCTCAATAAATTTAAAGGTTGTTTAACTACATCAATTTATTACAATAATCTCTGAATTGTATTGAAGATTTAAAGTGCGACACAATATTTACAGAGGACTTGAATTTAAAAAAGCTTTTTACGGTTTCTGAGAGAGAAGTTTCCTTTACATTTTACCTTTACAGGTTACCAACCTGAGAATCCTTTATCAAAAGTTGCAGGTGATAATCCTCAAGAATCTCTGTGTTGTTGTTTATTTCATCGATAGCCATCTGAATGGCGGGAATTATTCCTGCCGAGTTCCATCCACCGCCATTTGTGTCAATACCAAACAGTCCACCGATGTAAAGTGTTTCTTTAGCTTTACAGTGTGAAAAGATCAGGGGAAGAAGCAGAAAAAAGAAGAGTTCCTTCCTGGCCATCACGGTTACTTTCGACTTAAGAAACGACGCGTTATTCTTGTAGACTGTCGAGGGATTCGTCAGTATTATCTTTATAAATGCCTTCTTCTGATCAAATCGTGATGAAGTTAGTTTACACCTTCGGGTTTAAAAGGGAACAAAATTTGGTTAATAAAACATTAATTTCGGAGTGAACAATTGAACAATTCTCACCAATACTCGGTAAATAAATGAATACATGTGCAAAGTATTTGTCAACGATATTCCTTAAACACAACATAATCGTCTTTTTAAAAGCACCCAGAAGAGTAAAATATTTTTTAAATCCGCATTATCGTTTGGCATGGATTATAATAGTTTCATCTTCTGATGATTTCCCTCTTAAAGGAATTGGACCTCAAACACGTTCTCAGCGCTGAAGCAAACGGGTGAGCTAAGAAAATTTTTATAAGTTGCAGTGAACGAAGGGTCTCATGAACATTTGAGGTCGATGGCTCAAAGTTTATCTTCCCCTCATTAATCATAGATTGTTGAGTTTTTGTTTCCGGTTTTCCTTTTAAATCACTTATGCTCAGCCCCGTTGGTTTTTGCGAAAGAAGTCGTTGCGCGATAGGCAATGGGGAAACTGTGTTTATAACATAGTACATTCTGCACGTGACGGAAAGTTCTATACTTAATCATTCTTGATGTTTTTTACGAAATTGAAAGCTATTCTCGATCCATAACGAAGATAACAAGTTCGTGCAGTCTTTTTCCTATCAACAAATACACAAATTTGCATGTTCTCGTCTCGTTCTGAAGTTTTCATTGATTTCGAGTCATGGTTAGAATTTCCACTCGCAAACATGTCGCACAAGTTGTGGCAAGGTCGGCAAGCATTCTTCAATCAATAGCTGCAAATCAAAAATAACCTGATGTTTTTGAATGCTGTGCCCTTTGGTATTTGTACCACGGAAAAGGAAATGATACTTTATTTACAGGTTAGAGTTCCTTCGACGGGAACAAAGTTATAATAAATAAATTGAAATAATATGGAAGCTGTAAAATATAATTCTATTTGTCCCACGAATTCAAAGTCGAGCTGTTTAGAATTCCTTGAACTGGCTTCACAAGGAAAGCATACAATAAAGTGAACACTAAGAAAGCATATCGAGTGAAAACGTCGAGTTAAGTCATTTATGTAATTTGCTGTGTCACTCTTTGGTCCACACGCTTTAAAAGAAAGAAAAAAATGCTTTTATAGCCAGAACTAAGTTAAAATTAGGCTTTCAGAAAAGCATAGATTGTAAAAGTGAATTATGAAGCTCTCTGATGACGTCATCGGCATATCAATTAACCATAACGATATTGACTTTCTGTAGACTGAAATGGTGTTTGTTTTTTCCTCCTTCTCTTCTTCCTTTTCTGTATAATCCTCTTCGTATGATTTTCTTATTCCACCAAACAGCTGTTTTGAACGATTGTGTTCAAAGTTTTCTTTCTGTGAGACTCTTCCTTCTCGTGATGCATCTCTTTTGGCGCGGGCACCCAATCAAATAAAAGAGTTTCGAAGGGGGTAGTTGAAAAACTTTCAAGGAAACGTTTATACAAAATTTAATGTTTTCCCGTGAGCACTAATGGGTTTATCAGCACATAGACATTGCATAGAATCAAGTATCGTTTCAACAAAATGTTGAGTAAACCCAGGAGTCAAAATAAAAATGACGTATTTCCGAAGGCTTCTTAATTTCCTTTACTCTCTCAAGTGTTAGTTTTCTTCAAAACCTCCTGTGGGTAAATTATTCTTAGTGCAACTGAAAGTTTCAATTAAAAGTATTTTGATATTGGTAAATGAGTGACTCGTTTAATTTGAAGGCTTTCATACGCCGCAGGTTATATTGTGAAAAATATCGTACCTGTCGTTTCAATGTCAACATTTGATTGACGGCCTAAATCTTCTTTGTCAATTTAATAGATTTGTTTGATGGCTCTAGGAGACCAATGAGAAGTTGAGGTAAAGTAAAACTCTAAATTTCTCCCGCGGAATACTGCACCGAAAACCCTAGGTGTACTCACTTACAACTAATAAACAACTCTAATAAAATCAGTAAATATTATTCTAGAAATTTAGTTCCAGAAGATGTCATGAAATTCAAAGTCAAACAAAAAAGCACTAACATGAAGACAAATTTAAGCAGAGCGTATAATGAGAGGCAGGAGTTTTTGATGACGTCTCTTAGGAAAAAAAGCGATCCGCGTTTTCTTTAAAAGATATTGATTTTCGCAAAGGATATATTAATGACAGCTCCGTTTCAACCTTTAAAAGTCTTCCTTTCTCATATATTCAAAGTAAAGCGCAATTCAATCAAGCTTTTAAAACAGTGTTAAGAAAAAGAACCTTTTTGACTTTCCTTCATCCAGCTTAAGCTTAAAAATGTAAAAAGAACAACATCTTGCATGGTTATTTTCGTACTCATACGCAATCTGAAATTGCTAATTTTACCAAGCCATCATAGAAAGAAAATGATTTCCTGAAGTGAACGATCGCTAGTTTAAACATACTTGACCAGACAACTTACCTTTATAAACCTCAATTTTGAACCAGGAAATCCAACGAGTATATATGAAATATGAGGGATTGAAAGCCCTGCAAGATCGGGTCGTGCTTACACTCGGTCGGTTTCACCTAGCGTCTTGCTGCTTTTTACGTTGCCTGCCTGAACATGTAATCGCAGGTGGGGTGTAAAATTCATTCTTTAATTTCACGTTATGAAAATATTACTTCAGATTAGATAAACACACATGCAAATGACCATGATGTTCATTAAGTTTTATTGCTATTACCTTATTGGACAAGTGGCTTAAATTCGTTAAGAAATTTTGAATCAAATTTCCGTTCAACTAAGTAGTTTTGCTGAAAAGTAGCGAAGTATTTTCAATTAACTGAGAAACAAATGATACGGAAACGGAAAATGCAATCACTTTAAACAGAGAATATCCAGCTTTGGCCATTATACAGAGACAGGCGGAGGTGAGGGCATCATGTTAATGAAGTTGCGTCAAAGCAGAGAACTCGATTTGGTGAAGGAAAGCTAAAAATATGAGACAAATACCGTGACAAAGGCAATTTAATATCCACAATCGGATATCTTAGATCTAAAATGCCTGATGCTCTACAAATGGGCTCTTAAATGCGGCAATCTTTATCCTGAAATCATCCATTATGTATTAAGGATGCAAATCTGTTTGCTCTTAACTCAAAACTCACTCGATCGCAAAATGAAACTAGTGCAACAAGCGTTGTGCTTAATTACTACCGGTCAATAACTGGAAATGTTCAACGTGATGGTTCGTCATTTGCATGATATACTTAGAAAAGAAAGATGTTATTTTAAGCCTGTGCGCTAAATCGTGACGATTTTAACTGTGTCTCTAGTCGCTAACTTATTTTTCTGGTTTCGGAGTCATTTTGCATCAAACCTTAGTTTGTTTTACAGTATTTCTCAAAATTGACCCGCTTTTTTAGATGAAACGGACAGGGTAACGTTGAAAACACAGTTTTGACTCGTCAAAAATATTAGTAGAACAACGAATGAAGGTCAAACCTTAAACGGGAGCGCAAATTGCCGTAAATTAACTCTCCCCGGGTATCTCCAATTTGTGTTTGTCTACTGCTTGTGTGTGAGCCAATTTTACCTTCTTATTCCTCACCTGGTGTTTATCCCAAACGATTAATCAACTCGAAGGACTTATCAATCTCCTTTTAAAAACTCACCTTCATGAGTTAACGCTTCTGTAAGAAGTATTTTGTAACACTTCCTGTGCAGTTGATACCTTCTTTATTTCCTTTCCTAAAAGTAAACACAACTTACTTGCTAAAGGACTAGCTCTGCTTTCTCAAGGAAAGTGTTGGTCACCAGCTTAAAAGGGTGACAGTTTTCAGGCTGTCAATCTTTGGCCATCGTCATTATTTCTCACTTAGCTAACGAATCATGTTAAGTTACGCGAAACAGATCCCGCATACTAAGTATGCACCTTCGGGATGTTGACTCTCTACAAAACGACTTTCTACGGAAAAATTTCATAATGCTGCGGTTAAGATTGGGCAAAACATGAACAAGATTGGTAATATGAAAATTATAGAAAACATATTGATTAAATTAGAATTACACTTGAAAAGATATTTTCAGAGAAAATAGCTTTTGAAGATTGTTGCGTAATAACAGAATAAACAGAGAAATTGAAGAAGAAAGGGCGTACTCAAGGTACCGCCCTAAAGAACTACCTGCTGTTCATATTAATAACTGATTATAAATTCAGTGCAAAGAATGAAAAGAACAAGTTGTTCATATCTTTAATCACCTTCAACAAAGAGGTGTTGAAAGTGCTAAATTAAAAAATTTGGAATTACTTACTCTACTTACAAAGTAAGACAGCCAAAAAAATAGGAAATGATCAACTAGCTTAGGATATTTTTCACTGAATGGCTTATCCTAATATGCCATTTCCATTCATTTTAATGACACATATACAGAAAATTCTTGAACCCCAGGTCCAGATGAGACACAGCAAAACAGGTTTTACAGTTGCCGGCCGTTACCAGGTGCAACTAATTGTGAGTAACTTTTTCCCACCTTAAAAGATGGAAATTTTATCAAGATGCGTATGATATTTCTAAATGAGTTACTATTAGAAAACAAACGACGAGTTTCTCATTATAATACTTAATTCAATAGTACCTGCCCTCAGTGGTTTGAAAATGTTTTCCATACCTCTGTTATGTGAATGAAAGTGATCCTCGCAGTAATGTGCACTACTTAGGCAATAGTGAAAATAAGGCCTGTACGGGATTTGAACCCATGACCTCTGCGATACCGGTGCATTTCATCGGTCGCTACCTTCCACGGGATGTCTTTTAAGACATCTCATCGGAAACTGACAGAATTTGATAACAAAAAAAAACTGCGAGCAAAATACGTATACGCGTAACATGTTGCGGGGCGCGAAAAAAGAGATGACATATCTGTCGAAAATAAGATTTGTAGGACAGTAAAACAAAAAGAAAAGAATTTATTCAATTTCGAGTAAATTTCTGACAAAAATCAACTAGTTTGTATTTACTCATGTTCATGTTGTTTTCAGAGCCTCCCCTATTAGTATTAGGTTTGCCTCTGTCCCCAATGTCATTCTATTGTCTTTTGCTCAAATTTCTTGGGGGTGATACAAAGGGCGTATTTTTGCCAGATCACACTAGTGGAGTTATCAACGTATTTTCAAAATGGCGTCTGTCGCCGCATGCCGTAGGCTAAAGTGGCCATTTTTCGACTGGAAATTACCTTCTGTGGACAAATTCAGTTCTTGGAAATGTTCGTTATACAACTAAGAAGTTGTTTGCAACGACATCATTTAACCGCAGCCGCCTACTGTTTTATGACAACTCGTGCTACTCCTTCAATTTACCAAGGCTTAAATTAGTGGGCTTAATCCATCCAAATCCTGGTCCTACCACAGAAGCAACGACCAATATTAACAACTCATGTCAAAACCGTAAACCACAGCTAAATATCAATTGCCTTTATATGAACGCTCGAAGCATTGTCAATAAGGTCGACGAGCTACAAGTCCTCGCTACAAACATGGATGTGTTGGCTATTACCGAGACATGGCTAACACCGGTCATCAACAGCTGCGAGATATTGCCCAATATGAACTTCACTATTCATAGGAGAGACAGATTTGAGCATAACAACAAACGCGGAGGAGGCGTCCTGTTAGTAGTTCGTAATACAGTGCCATGTGTTAGAAGGCCTGGCCTCGAAACCTCAGCTGAAATTGTTGTTTGAGAGCTTCGTCCGTCGTGCAAGAAAAAGATATTAATAGCAGTTTTCTACCGCCCTCCTTCTTCTGATTATCTCTATTTGAAAGAATTTATGAAATTTCTGGACCAAGCCTCCAGGGCTAAATTTGATCAACTTTTGATTGTTGGTGATTTCAACTTACCAGACGTCGACTGGGCTACCGTAACTGCCTCTATCGATTGTCAGATGTACACCCCCTTTACTAAAGCAATTAAGGATCATTTTCTTTGGCAATTTATAGATTTCCCAACCAGGAATGATCATATTTTGGATTTACTGCTCACAAATATTCCAGACAAGATTTCAAATTTTAAAGGATCTCAGGATATTTTGAACTCAGATCACCAACTTATTGAATTTTCCTTGGACCTTCGAATCAAGAGCCAACCACATATTAAACGACGACTATATAGTTTTAAGAAAGCTGACTGGAACGGCCTCAAACATTCACTCAGTTTGATCAACTGGGACCTGTGTTTTGAGGAAAACGACATAAACGGTTTTCTTACTAATTGGTCTGATACGTTCCTCGGGGCTGTTAACCAGCACATTCCAACGAGCAAACCTCGAAATGTAAATGAGCACCCATGGATTGACCACGAACTTCTGAATCGAATTAAAGTAAAAAAACAAATTGAGAAAAGTGGTTATCAAACGTGGAAGTACTCTAGACCATGACCGGTTTAGACAAGCAAGACGCGAGGTTAAAGCAATGATTAAGATGAAGAAAACGCAATATGCAGCTAAACTGAAGGATTCGCTTCTCACCAATATCAGACGCTTCTGGTCTTTAGTTAAATCTATGACCAAACAAAACCGGTCACTTGGTTTCTTGAGGGATGGTCAACGCTTTGTCACGAACAACAAAGAGAAAGCAGACTTACTTAACAACTTTTTTCAATCAGTATTCAGTCCTAACAATGGTACTTCTGAGTCTTACCAAGAGCCATCTACTATACCGGTTCATCACTTAAGTGAAATCCCGCCTTACAATTTCAGAGGTAATTAAAGTTCTGACAGACATTAATGTAAACAAAGCACATGGCCCCGACAACATTCCTGGTAGATTGCTGAAGGAAACTGCACCTGAAATTGCCTCTCTCGTCTGCCGTCTGTTTAACCTATCGTTGTCTCTCAGCAAGTTTCCCGATCAGTGGAAATTAGCTAATGTATGTCCTGTCTACAAATCCGATGATCCCAGATTACCCAAAAACTACCGCCCAATTTCATTACTGTGCATTATATCCAAATGCCTAGAAAGATGTGTCTTTAACCACTGCTATACCCTCATCTCGCCCCAACTCTACCATCTGCAGCATGGTTTTCTTAGAGGAAGGTCTACTGTTACTCAGCTCCTCCAGGTCTATCACGAAGTGATTCAAGGCTTAGCCAAAGGTAAGGAGATTGACATAGCTTATTTAGACTTGGCTAAAGCATTCGACAAAGTCCCTCGTTGTGCCTTGCTGAATAAGCTATCTCGATTCGATTCTGGGGCAAATAAATATCTAGATATCAGCGAGTAAATAAACTAGTTTCAAGAGGGCTATCTTTTCCTTTTTCTGGTAGATACTAAAGTTGCCATATTTACGATTACAGGTTAATCTTGAAAAACCATCGGTAAATTTTTTTCTCTCACGGTTTATTTTTTTCATTCGATTTAACTTTTCACTTGCAGTGGTAAAGCGAATTTTCTATTTACCTTTGGCATTTCTCATGTCTTCTTTATTTGGCTAAGTTTTGTCATTTTCAGTTTAGTCAGGTCGAATTTTCTCTCACGGTTTATTTTTTTTTGCATTGCATTCTATTTATCCCATTTGACGGAGTCGCATTGTATCCCATTTAATCTGTGTTTATTATATTCTGGTCACCAAGCTGATAAATCATTCTTCTGTTTCTCTCGCGTCCTCCTCACTTGTCTTAGAAGCATGTAATGGTTCCACCTGAAAAGCACGACACTGTCAGTAAAAAAACAGATTTCTCTTTTGGACCGAACTGGTTAGAATAAATGAAAGGAGAACAAATACAAACAGATATTATCCTCTGTACGTTTCGTTTATGTCATTCAATACACGTACGTACGTGGTTTCGCTTCCACCAACAACATTTTTTTGGATCTTAAAAATGGTACACGATAGCATTAAACATGACTTAAAGCTTGATTCTATTGTTTGTGTCTACTCTGTTTACCTGAACAGAAAAAAGGATTAAGGGGAATAGTTTGCGGGCGAATAACATATTTATTTACTTTGGTTAATTGTGTTTTTACCTTCGATGACATTTGTCCACCTTCTATGGTTGAGCCAGTGGCAGTGGCAGTGGCAGATTTAGTGGCAGTTGAAACACTATTTCCGTCCGCGGTTCTTAAGAACATTATCTAAAATAAACAAACCGAGTGATTTAGTCTCAAATTCTAAAACTAAAACATCATTATCATGGTAATGTACAATGTTTCCCAGCTTTGTTAAGCATCACTGTGATATACATATAGCTGTACCCTTAACATCGCTTGTGTCGCGCTCTTACACGACACGAAAACTTACCTATAAAGATGTTTCCTATATATGTGTCTAATGGAATGCTTTTATCAGTTGAGCGAAGCGGCTAAAGGAGCAAACGTGTTCATGGCACGACTTGAAGCTTAGTTCTCAAAAATTGTTCAGTAAACTAACCTTTGGAACGAAAACAAGACTCAGAGTAAAAGAAGTACAGAAGATGGTAAGGAACGAGGACAAGGAAAAGTGGATAGTAGGTTGGTCAGCGACAACACCAAGAATAGGAATTACGAGGATACAAGGAATGATGACGTTATACAAGGACAAGCCAATCAGCTTGCTGTCATTTAAGGCGAGGATATGCACTTTGCGAGTTTCCCAGGCCAAGTAGGCTCCAAATAATAACAACAGGCCTAAAGACAGAAAGCAATGAGATAAACGTCACATTGATTAGTAAACAATTAGTACTAGCCGGTTCGATACAATGTCCTTAATTTTTGGGGCCGTGCTCTTCTCCCAGTGATTAATAGATTATTGAATCATTTTATGAACAGTTTACTCACATATCTCTAACACTCGAAAAAGTTCATTTAAACTTAATTTTATCAAACAATATTTCCATGAGGAAACGGACAGAGATAGGAAATCGTCTGGTCTCTGGAAAAAAAAATTGTGTTTACTGCGTATGACTGTAGAAGCTAATACCCTCTGGAGTTTAAAATGGGATTTTTTAAGAACCACTGTCTGACACTAATCATCTCCAAACCAGCACAGGTCACTCTCCAAGTAACCTTTGATTAACGATGCAATGTAAAATACGCTCGGTCGTGTATCAACACCTTGTGAGTCTCTGATTATTACCTTTAAACACGTATATGCAAGCTAGCCATATCGTTATGTTCTCGCAGGTGCACATGGTTATATACGGTTGTATGCCAGTGTCATCTTCCAGTGTTACCTATGGAAAAATAAGGAACTTATTTGAAAATAATCCAAGGTACTGAAGCCAAAATGTATTTTTAGCATATGAAGATTTAGAGAAGACCAGTGTGCACTACTACAGTCTTAGATTTTCCAAAAATACAAAACTTTAATAAGTCTGGCAGAAAATACATAATTTAGCACCTACAGTTCAAAATTGAACTGTATTTCGCTCTACACTCACGTGTATTGAGCACTTTCCTACAGCATTTGGTACAATTTCCCACAATTAATTTAGCGCCTATATAGCCTTAAACTTACTTCCCACCTTCAGAGGCCGAAAAAAGCGATTTTTGTTTTATTTGACTAAACTAAATTCAAACATCCAACCTAACGTTTCCATAAAAAAAGTTTCTGAAATCTTTCAAAACAACCGAGTTATTTAGAAAAACGTATTTTCAAATAAGTTAATAAATCAGAAAGGTGTGATAATCTCGGACCTGAGCGAATCCCTCGGGAGAATTGTCGAGGCTCAATTTTCATGTTATTTCCATATTTTTTTACATCGTCTACATCGCGCACTTTACAAAATTCACACGTGGAAGCTCTTTGATTGTGGAAAAATCTCTCTCATGGAAAAATAAAAAAACTGGAAAAAAGTCCTTGGTAAAGAAAGAAAAAAAAAAACAGGTCCAAAGAAGAAAGAGTACCATTCTGTCAAGAAAAGAAAAAATTCCTTTGTGAAAGCGACTAGTGCTGGCTGAGCTCCACGCTGGCGTCCAGACTTCAAACAAAGAAGTCGTCGTCAAACCAAAATGTGTCATACATATACACAGTTCATTTTCCGGTTTTTCCATTTTTGCCGTGGGTTTTGCCTTCGCCTGTGGCAACTTTGCTCATTATTGTGTCGTCCTCCTCAACGCTCCACTGAGCGATCGAAAAAGAAAAAGAGGTGTCTGCAATCAGGAGCCATTACTTATGTATTGGTAATGGCTCCTGCTGCAATGGGTTACTTTTTCCGGGAAATCTTGATCCATCATCTTTGACGCCAGGAGGTCCCGTTGTCTCATTGGTTTGGGGCGAAATAATCTGCTGGCGTGGCGCGAGTTGTTTGCGAACGTTTATGAGCTAAAATCTCACATTTGATTTGAAGAGGAATACAACCACTTTGAGCGAATTTATAGGGTATATAGATCTGTCTGATTTTCGTCAAACTTCGCCAAAACATTTCAGGAATAATGACAAACGAAAGTGTGTCGGGAAATTTTGATATTTGAAATATTTGTCCCGTGGCGTCCCTTTACGCAACGCGCCTCGCATATTTTTAGCTACTCAAACTTTAGATGCCGATATCTAGACAACCAATCAGAATATTGAAAAAGCGTGACACACTTTTGTTGATTGATGCCTTGTGAATATGGTGCATCCAATACCCGATAAATTCAATAGAAGAACCTTCGGTCGTTTCACGCCTTACCAGCTCCTGACACTTCCATATAGGAAAAGTCGGTTAAATTATATTTTTTTTGTAAACTGCAGTTAGTAAGCTTTCTTCTAATGAACTTACAGTTTCGTGGGATTTTAGTGAAACAAGCGCGCGTAGGAATTTTTTGCCGAAGGACATCCGCAAAGGTGGGAAGTAACTTTAACTTAGGTTTTTGGAATGGCAAAGGCTTTCGCTATCCTGGTCACATGTCTTCGTTTCCTTTAACTTTGACACGTAAGCTTCGCGGCGAAATGTAGTGCAGCGACTGTGGATGTTTCGATGAAGGTGAATGGGCAACTATCAAAGTTTAAAAATATTTTTTTAGGTTTCCTCAGGACTTGCAAGTCATTTCAGGTTTTGGTAGCATGGGTGCACGTTGGAAGAGATCCCTCAAAAGAGGCGAGTGAAAGCTTTCTTTTCCCTTAGGTTCAAAATTTCACAACTTGATTAAGAGTTTTGCTCTTTACCTGCAGCGTCAAGTTTTCTACTTTACTTGTCAATGGGTCGACAATTTGCCAGGTGACGAGAATTATGACATCGATTAAGAGAAGAACTGCAACCATACCAAACAACTGACGGTCCCGGATGATAACCTGAAAGAAAATTATTCAGAAAAATCGCGTTTAGGGATCTTTCGAATTGAGTATGTCGCTATGTTACAGTTGCATCTGTCTCTCAATTTATCATCTCCATCTATACATCTATCTTTCTACCTGTCTGAACTTTTATTTTGTCCGTCTCTCTGTCTACCTTTTTTTCTTTCAGAAATATGCGTAACCTGTAAAAAGAAGTTGGGTGAAATGGTGTTTGATAATCAGAATAACTGGAGCAATTACAAAACTTATCTTCCAAAGAAAACACCGGAAATCACTAACGTTACAGTCAATCAAAACTCTAGATAAAGAGAAAACCATTGAAGAGTTTGGTCAGTATACACTCACCCTTTTTGTAGTTTTAGTGTTAAGAAATATTACGTGAACTCTCCAGGTTTTGCTGAACATCGCTCCAAAGCCTAAGCTGAATCCAATCATTGCAATCCATAATTCCAACTGAGAATGAAAAGGTTGAAAGGAATAAAATTGATTATTTGCTATTTACTATTTCCTTGAAAAATTTATTCCACAATCTTTCCTTAGCTCTCAAACTTTCTCTTCAACTTAGCTGATGTAAGATGGTACAGTCAATAGATACACTGAGTTTCATTGTTCCATTAAGAAAAGCGTCTATAGAAATTCCTTCGATAACTGATTCCACGAAAAAGACCTGGTCCAAGATACGAAGCTTAGAAATCATGGTCTATGAAATTGAGGTAAATCATGAATTGCAAATTACCATTGCCAAACACAAGACCTGGTTGATTATTATGAGGAAGACAACATTTATACGCATTTACCTGGCACAAATAACTTGCTTGCTCTTTATTTAAGCCGAACAGTACACCTGCCACATAGACAAGTATGCAACCGACTATAATCAGGTTATTAAGATTAGGTGACGACATTTTTATATACCTGAGGAAGGGAGAAAAATAAAGCAAAAAATGTTATTAGTGCTGATGGTCTTGCTCCCTCATTCCCTTTGTGTTATTATCATTATTATTATTATTTTTGTGCATGCTCTGTGCAACACCATTAATCCTTTATACCTTGTTAAAGGCATTATTGAGTTTTGCGTAATGTAACGTTTGATTGTATAAGCTTTCAAGTTATAACAAGAAATTACATGCTGGTCACTCTCACGGGACAAAGGGTTAACACTTTCAAACTCGGGTGCTGGGGCGCCGGTAAAAGTTGTTTTCAGGATGTCGGGCCGGGTTTCAATGAATATCTTAGCATTTTAAAGAGCTCAATAACTTACATAGGAACTCATAAATTCAAGGGGAAAGACATGACATGTCCACCGTAACAAGTAGCTCCTTACAGCAAGAATATGTTTTAGCACTGAAAATATTTAGCTCTATACATTTTTTGTAATGTGTTTAGTTTAGGGAACTTCATGGTAACGCTCCCTGATTGAGCATGATCTATCTTCCAGAATAATGCATCGAACAGGACCGCCTGATAAAGCTTGCTTCTGCAAATATCTAAATATCCTCATCTAAAAAGGAAAAAAATCGAAAAAAAAACTGTAAAACAGATACCTGATCTTTTGGTTGTATACATTGAATATGAGGAATCCGATGGCCATCAGAACTCCGAGGATTGATACAGCAATGACAAACCACAAGACCCCTGGATCGACTCCTTCCAGCTTTTCTTCTATTCTTAGACCATCGACGGGGACTTTACCACCTTAACAAGCAAAAACAAAAATTTCACTCTGATGAAGAAGAGGTGCACAGCATATCTGAATCGGAAGGTAAGGTTTTTATATATCCATCTATCAAACTAGATAATAACACATGCGATCGTGTGATCGTAGTGTTGCAATTATCTTCTCTCGCTAAGATAAAAGATCAGTAATATAAAAGTTATTTTTCTCTGTAGAATGACACTTTCAATTTCATTCTTCTCCTTGAAAAACTAGTTACGGTTTCAAGTTAAAAAAAAAGAGATTCTCAAGAAGAAAATTATTTTAAATATAACAAAATTAGATTATATATGTATAACATGCATATTACCATCCCATGAGTAAACACTATTGCTATCCTCTTCGTAAGTGTCATTTTCCATGTCGTAGAATGCAACTCTTCGTTGGGTGTTTCCTACACGACGAGACAAACAAAGCTTTTAAAAGATTGGGTTTGAAGGTATACCAAAGACCTCTGGCAGGGTCTGATTCGAGAAAGGCGACAACAATTTGTCACACACGGTCAGTACTTGCCTTGTATTTGTTGGACCTCAAGTTTTGTTATACGGTCATAATTACTGTCGAACTTCACCTGGCCCTACAAATGGATTGAAGACTTGAAATTCGATAATCTAGAGAATGGATTTGCCTTTCAAACAGCAACCACAGATTACTAACACAGCAATCGCGATTGAATGCAACTTACTGACATTCCAGCGAATGAAATCCTCTTCATTATGTCGACAAAGACTTTGCTCATGTTAGGATGGCTATAGTTGAATTCATTCAGTTTGAAGTTCTGTTTTCCCAAGACATCAATTGATGCGTTGAGAGTCAGTGCACATGTCCAGGCCGCGTCGTATCCATAAGAAGCAAACGTATTTTCGGAATATCCCGAGTTGTTGAGGCGTTCTAGATATTCAGCATAGAGTTCTTGGGGCGTCTGAGAAAGATGACAATGCAAATTATTGTAGAGGAGATAGCTAGTTGATCTGTGTTAGTATATGACCTTTCCTTGTATTTTTATTTAATTATGTGTTAAAAGTGTGTCTATGCTTAGTCGGTGAAAGTTGTATTGTTAATTTTGTTTTTCTATACGTACTTATCGAGGCTTTTTGTTATGTCAGCCCGGGATGGTCAATGAAAGAAATTTAAGTTTTCGTTATTCTCATTCATTAATTTCAATAAATCGAGGTTTATTGTCAACTATTCAAAGTATATATTTTCACAATCGTGAAATAATCGCCTGTTTTTGAAAACGTGGAAAAGCTGTTCCACGCTTCCTTATTAAATCACGGTTTAATCACTTGATTTAACGATTCTATGACAACGCTTCGATTAACTCCCTCTCACATATGTAGCTCCTAGCTTATTCGAAAAGAACACGAAAAACGTGGGGTAGCAAGCATGGGGAACAAGGCCACATAAGGGAGAAAAAGACACCTGCCGCGTACATGTTTAGTTATATAATAGACAAACGAATCACTTACAAAATATCGACCAAAATAAGACGAATTAACATATCATAGAGTTTCCAACACTCTACTAAGCCTCTCCTCGTGTAAAAAGAGGAGACACGACAGTTTGACTTAGGGTTATGTTACATACCTTTCCAAATTTAGTTGGTCCCGAGAGAGGACTGAGTTTCAATTCTCCGGTTCCGATGTTGTTACTCAGGCCTTTCCGCACTTCCTCCGGAGTACAATCCACGAGAGGACTCTGCACTTTCCACCAATTGTCCTGAATTCGAGCAGAGTTCAAAATCCACACATATTTCGGTCCATACATACCTTTCTTGAAGGCCTGTATGTTGTAATTCAAACACAAAAAATAACTGATTTACACGTGAAACGGTTATCAATTCTTGACCAGTGTAATGTAGTTTCGTTATAATAGTCGTATTTTGGGTTTCAGTGTTAATGTATGGATATGTTTATAATCTTGCAAATGGACCATAATATTGTTCTACTCCAGTTTGTTTAGGTTTGAAAATACTTTCCGAAATTTTTTTTCAGTCGTTCATAATCAGTCGTTCACAAAAGATTATGAACTGAGAGAACTTATCCCCCATACATACCCCTATTACAATGATGATTTTTCAAAATCTACTTTAAGTGCGCGTTCCTGCGATGCAATATTTTGAGAGCATTAACTGATTGGTGAGTGCTTCTGTGGTGAAATTTAATGTGTTCTGTTTGGCGACCACCGCTTTGTGGTTTGTGGTGTTCATTTAGATGATATGGTGACATTATTGGATCAAAATGATAAAAACATAACCTCTGAGCGTTACCCGCAAAGCCTCAGCTTTTTTCCCCTTGTACTCCACATGCAAGGGTGCGTGGAAGATGTTTCATCAGAAAGTTTGATTGGACGATCTGAATATCTGACAATGATTGATTCAGGTAAATTTCCTCAAGGGTTATCGATTAAGCGGCAATGGCGCGACATACACATTTTCTAGAAGAAAGAAAGCGAACCGGCTCGATCTTAATGATTTCTTAATCATTTTTTTATTTTTAATCAATGCCGTTAATCGCTGACCTCTATGCTTGATTAGCTATGAGACTTTTTTCCTCGACCCTCGACCAAGAAACAGAATCTTACAATTTGGTAGAAAATAAAACATACAGCAAATGACTGTTTACAAGAGCCCAATGGTTTGAGAGAAAGTTAAAAAATGAATAAAAACTAACCGACGGTGATGAATAACGGATGGTGAGTGATTAGTCTGAGCAACTGTTAAGCGCGATTCCTTCTCGATTCACACAACTGTATCCGACAAATATATCAAGCTTACTCTTTAAATGGGTAATAAAACGTAGAAATATTTTGAGAGGAATCAATTTGAATCAATTTCAAACATCCATTTATATGGCAATAGCGTTTTCCGGCGCTTTACAGTTAAAAAGGCTTACTAAAATTTGCGAAACGAAACGAAATGAAAATCTGTAATTTGCGAAATAGATTAAATTTTTTCATTTCTCACTCGTTGTTTTAGTAATTATTTTATAGGTTGCGTATGCAACCCACACTTGTTGTGAACTGACCGACTCGTTCTTTTGGCCTGAGGGGCTTTCCGCCCGGTTCCGCAAATCATGAACAGATTTCTTTTTGGAAAATTACAGATTTCTACTTTGCAGATCATTAATAGATTTCTTTTTCGCAAATTACAGATTCTATTTTGCAAATAATTGACAGGTTTCCGGCTCATGATGTCGCAAATTACAGATTTTATTTCGCAAATCATTAACAGATTTCTGTTTCGCAAATTTTACAGATTTATATTTCCCAAATTACAGATTTTCATTTCGTTTCCTGTCGTTTCGCTTGGCAAATCACAGTAAACCAAAACTTAAAGTACAGAAAGAGGACCGGTTCGATCTCGCTGCCGAAACACTGATTTCTTACCTGAATTTGTTTCTATGTGACAATGTGACTAGTTTCTCGCTAAATTCGGCTAGCTTTATGACTTATCACTTTTATGAATTGGTGGAGAATTGTTTACATGAGCTCCTGCCGTTTGCGAGAAAGTAAAAAACATCACTACAATAGTAGACGTTAAGCAAGGCAAAACTACAGTAAGGCACGATTTTTTTTTTCTTACATCAGTGCGCCTAAATCAATAAAAGTAAGTATTCAAACGGTGAGGCAAACATTTATAGATTTGTTTCGATGATGAGCGGTTACAGTTTTTAAAAACTTGTTTAAAACTTTAATATCGGAAACCACAACGATAGATGATGTTGAGATAGTAAACGCGTTATCATGGGAAGTATTTATAGGGGTAACTCCCGGCGTGGCGGGAAATTTAAAATAGACTTTAAAAAATTATTACGGGTCACGGGGATAACTACTCTCAGTTTATAACCTCTTTTCTTTCATCATGGTATGTCTCTCTTCTGGTTACATCATTAATGAAAGTATGGGTTCAATTCCATTTTCCATTCAGAAGCGGGAAGTAGCGATCGTTTCTCACTCTGGAAAAATGAGTAATTCATCGGAGATGAAATTTTCTTTCTTCACGCCCTTACCTCACAAAAGGTGATATAATGTTCATCTGGATAGAAAAATGCAAAGATGATACGGGCATCTTTCCTCTGAGGGATTCAAAATACAATTTGTGTTAAGTTTATGCCATAACCACTGAAGACTTGAAACTGGAAAAAAAATTTTAACCTCACTTACATAGTTACCAGGATTATTGGAATAAATTGCGTTGTCTTCTTCCTTCTGATCAATACTGTCGTCAATAAATCGACATTCCAAAGTGACCATGGAAAATAAGGGGTTCATTTCTTAATCACTTAGCGTGAAGTGAAAAGTGAAAACAGAATGAAACTTAGATAGTTTACCTTCAGGTTCTCTAAGGCAAACCTCGGATGATCTTTGAAACTCTCGTAGGCAAGCACGGTTATATTGGCAGCACTCAGTAAATCAACAAGAGAGTTGCTGATTCCTGTGAAAACGTCGTTGTTTTGTTGCATAATGGCAACTTTCTTCCAGTTGAATCGTCTAAGAATCGCAATACGTCCCAGATTGGTGAATCTCTCCGAAGGGTTGGTTCGAAAGTAGAGGGGAAAAACGGCTTTGGACGATAGCAATGGAGAAGAATTTGAGAAGCCAATCTAAGGAGAATAAAATTTGAGTAATGCCTTTGTTGTTATTTTGGAAAAAAAACCTTCTTCATTTTTTTTTACTATCTCTCTATTTACTTTCATTTGAAAAAAAGTTCCGAGGAAAACACCTTTATTCCAAGAAGGGATCTAAACAGGGTTGAGCTCATTTATCTCTAATTGCAAGGTGTACAAATGTTCGTAAGAAAGCTGTTATTTTAATGAAAACCAGTTACAAAGCATGCCGTATTGTTCCGGTAACGAGATGTCGTAATCTCCTTTTCCATGATCTTCACTTTTCCCCAGCTTCATTAAAAATTTCATAAGAGAACTTACTTGCACAATGTTCCAGTAATGAATTGCTTCCGCCACTGGCATTGTGGCTTTAGAGCATCCGGGGCCTAGAAACATGATTTTGGGTTTTCCGGATGATATGTACTCCAAAGTTCCGCGGACAGCCTCGCCAACATTGCACTGAGTGTTTAAAAAAACGAAAAGTCCAAATCAAAGCTGAAATTTATCTAGTCTGCGCCTACGTCGATTATCGGAATCAAAAGTGTCATTTTATGATCATCTAGTATACCTGTTAATCAACGAGTTTAAAAAACTCGTTGATTTAATGATCTTTCAAATTGCTTGCATACCTCAAACGGAAGAAAGGAACTTTCCTGGACGAAAATTGAATTTCTCGAAGTTATCGCTAAAATATTCACTTTTGTGTCGCTCCGCCGATTAAAATTATGAACAAGAATGAATTTGGCGCGTAGGAATGTTCGTTGATGCCTCATTGGTTACAACACAAATATCAGATAATATTTTAGTCCAAGCTGTGCTAACAAGACTTGTGTGGGCTTTCTGACAAAGGATAAATACGTGAGCTGTTTCCTTGGGTGTCAGAAAAATCTCTAAATGTGTAAAATTTAAAAGTTGTTCTACTGCATCAAATTATTGTAATCATTTCTGAACTGTTTTAAGGATTCACAGTGTAAAAGGCTCATCCAGAAAAAACTGTCATTATTAACGGAGGATCTGAATTAAAAAGCTCCCTATGGTTTGTGTAAAATAGATGTCGTTCTCTTAATAGTTAACAAACCTTAGAATCCTTTATTAAAAGTTGCAGGTGATAATCCTTAAGAATCTCTGTGTTGTTGTTTATTTCATCGATAGCCATCTGAATGGCGGGAATTGTTCCTGCCGAGTTCCATCCACCGCCACTTGTGTCGATACCAAACAGTCCACCGATGTAAAGCGTTTCTTTAGCTTTACAGTGTGAAAAGATCAGGGGTAGAAGCAGAAAAAAGCAGAGTCTCTTCCTGGTCATTACGGTTACTTTCGACATAAGAAACAACGCGCTATTCTTGCAGACTGGCGAGGGATTCGTCAGTATTATCTTTATAAATGTTCTTTTCTGATCAAAATGTGATGAAGTTCGTTTACACCTTTGGAGTTAAAAGGCAACAACTATTGATCAATAAAACATTAATTTCTTAGCCAATAATTAAACAATTCTCAGCAATGTTGGTTAGGCAAACGTATAAATATGTGAAGGATTTTTCAACGATATTCTATAAATACAGTAATTACGATAAAACTGTCTTTTTAAAAGCACCTAAAAGAGTAAAATATTTCTTAATCCGCACCACCGTTTGGCATGGATTGTAATAGTTTCATCCTCCAATGAGGCTCGTCTCCAAGGTATTTGAACATCAAACAGTTTTCCGGCACATTTCTTTTATTTTTGTATGAAAGAAAAAATATAAACCGATAAAAATCATATCTCTTTGGATTAAGTTGGATCATGGTCATCCAATCGAAAAAGAAGCTGAGAGAAAGCTTTCTAATTATTACTGATCCTTTATTTCCTTCCATTAAAAGCAGGTTGGTTGCTCAAAGTTTATCTTCCCTTCATTAACTTTATAGACTGTTGAGTTTTGTTTCTTGTTTTCCTTTTAAATCACGTATGCTCAGCTCGTTGGTTTTTTAGGAATAGGTTTTCGGACGATAGGAGATAGGGAAACTACGTTAATAATGAAGTATATTTTACACGTGAGAGAACGTCCCTGTTAGCACAGCTTATACTTAATCATTCTTAATGGTTTTTGCGAAATTGAAAGCTATTCTCAATCGCATTACGAAAATAACACATCCGTGAAGTCTTTTTTCTACCAACGCATACTTAAATTTGCATGTTCTCGCCTCGTTCTACAGTTTTCATTAATTACGAGTCATGGTGAAAATTTCCACTCGCACGCATGTCGCACAAGTCGTGGCAAGGTTGGCAAGAATTTTTCAATCAATAGCTGCAAATCAAAAATAACCTGATGTTTTTTAATGCCGTGCTCCTTGATATTTGTATCATGGAAAAAGAAATGAGTTTCTTCAACAGGAATAAAGTTATACTTGAAATAATAGAGAGGCTGTGAAATACAATTCTATATGTCCATGAATTTAAGCTCGAGCCGTTCAGAATTCCCCGAACTAGCTTCACTAAGACAGCCTACAATTACGTGAAAACGTTGAGTTAAGTCATCAATGAAAATTGCTGTGTCACTCCTTAGTCCACATGGGTGGACTATGGCTGGTGAAAAATATTCCTTTTAATTTTTTTTTTAGAGGGCACGGTAACGAATCCTGCAATCTGATTGGTTCTTTACCCGGTCAGTATTTTCCTATCTCTGCCCACGGTAACGCTTTCTTGAGTCGCCGAGTACATCCCAACTTTCGTTGCCATTTTTCATAAATATATCTCGTTTTGCCGGCTGGGCAGTATTCTTAAGCAAACACGTCGGTCACTACCTCAAACCGAGTTATGAATCCTTTCTTTTCTCTCTCTCAAATCACTTTGGTTGCCAAAAAAATATTGGTTTCAGAATGAATTTGTATAAGCAATAGTGTCATTACGTTGGTTGACAAGCGGCCTAAAAGCCGTCTGCAGTTGATTTTAATCATTCAAAAAAAGTACCTAGAAAGTTAAAACGTGAGGTATTTGGTCACAGGTAAACTGAACAATGGAACTTTCATTCATTTAATATCTGAATTTTCTCAAACAATTTGTTCGTAGTGAAAGAGCGAGCGAAGTTTTAATTTCAGTTCGACAATAAATATACGCTCCTGGTGAGTCTTTCCAATTCCGTTCAATTTGGACATTTGGACCATAACTTGCACAACAGAAACTGAAGGAATTTATTGAGAAAAGGCCGCATTAAATCCCCTTGTGTCTTGTTGGAGTGTGCCGTTCGAATTTAGTTTTTGTGGAGGAAAGACCAGATTTACACACGCCGTTGCAGCAAACAAACGAGCAAACTCTCACAACTTCATAATAAAAAATTTGAATTTACTCACAATTACTTTCCTGGCCGTTTACTTAATGAACAGAGGTAAATCTTCGTACGTGAATGAATCGTCGATGAGAGTGAATGATACTTTCCGTTATATCATTGACTGTTTTTTAAGAAAACATTGCCGTGACAGACCTTGCCAAACTAGTTCCGTTGTTTTTCAAATCTTCTTGCGCTTTTTTTTTCTTACGCGCTCTCTAATTGACAGGTGTCAGATTGTGACAGATACTTGTAAAAATAAAGTTTCAAACTTTGTTTGGAAGCCTTTTAAATCACTTTTATCATTACGCAAGTGAAAATGTTTCAGTGAAGCATCTCTCTATAACTTGTATCACCTTTACTTTAACTACCATTTACTCGCTCAAAAATTGTTCAGTTTATGGAAGACCTTGCCGTATTTAAAGCCCTAAATCATTCGGGTTCTTTCAGAATGTATTTCGTTAAGCATTTTAGAGCAGTTTTAATGATTTCTGTTAAAAAAAAAAATGTTATTTACCGGCTAAGAAGAATATCCTGATTTATTCAATTTTGAACCTGGGGTGTTGCATTTCCAGCCCTCTATGGGTCCGTAATCAGTGACTATAAAAAACTGTGACCTCGGTCACAGTTTTTCACCATCGGGAACTGATGAACGGACCTCATGTGCTGAATGGTGTAGCTCAATGGTTCAATTTGACTCTTGCGTGGAAAAAAGGCAACATGTCGAGACCTGTGATCGTGATATGGGATAACATATGATTGGTCAGTCGGCAAGTGAAATATATATATATCCAGTTTTTCTTTTCTCTCTATCAATTCACTTTGGTTGACAGAAAAATATTGGTTTCAGAATGAATTTGTATAAGGAATAGTGTCATTACGTTGGTTGACAAGCGGCCTAAAAACCGTCTGCAATTAATATTAATCGTTCACAAAAAGTACCCAGAAAGTTGAAACGTGAGGTATTTGGTTACAGTTAAACTGAACGATGAAACTTTCATTCATTTAATATCTGAATTTTCTCGAGCAATTTGTTCATAGTGAAAGAGCGAGCGAAGTTTTAATTTAAGTTCTACAACAAATATACGCTCCTGGTGAGTCTTTCCAATTCCGTTCAATTTGGACATTTGTACCTTAAATTGCACAACAGAAATTGAAGGAATTTTTTGAGAAAAGGCCGCATTACATTCCCTTGTGTCTCGTTGGAGTGTGCCGTTCGAATTTAGTTTTTGTTACTCATGCCATTACAGCAAACAAACGAGCAAACTCTCACAACTTCAAAATAAAAAAATTGAATTTACTCACAATTTCTTTCCTCGCCGTTTACTTAATGAACAGAGGTAAATCTTCGTACATGAATGAATGGTCGATGAGAGTGAATAATACTTTCCGTTAGATCATTGACTGATTTTGAAGAAAACATTGTCGTGACAGTCCTTGCCAAACTAGTTCTGTTGGTTTTCAAATGTTCCTACGCTTTTTTTTTTCTTGCGTGCTCTCTAATTGACATGTCAGATTGTGACAGATACTTGTAAAAAAATGTTTCAAAGTTTGTTTGCAAGCCTTTTAAATCACCTTTATCGTTACGGAAATGAAAATGTTTCGCTGAGGCATCTCTCTTTAATTTGCATCACCTCTATTTTAACTACCATTTACTCACTCAAAAATTGTTCAGTCTATGGAAGATCTTGCCGTATTTACGGCCATAAATCATTCGGGTTCTTTCGGAAAGAATTTCGTCAAGTTTAAAAACAATAAATATGTTATTTACCGGCTAAGGGTCGGTCCGTATGGTGAAAAACTGTGACCTCGGTCTTGAAAATGCTGCCCTCGGCCTACGGCCTCGGTCTTGAAAATGCCTCGGGCAGTATTTTCAAGACCTCGGTCACAGTTTTTCACCATACGGACCTCCCAGCCGGCAAATAACATATATTTATTGTTACAGAACCAAGTACAAAATAAGCTTTGATAGTGAATTATAGAACTCGCCTAGTTTTATGCTAACAATCTTACTGTGTAAATTTTGAGATGACAATCAATCATTCTTTGAGTTGATTTGCACGATTCTTGTGCTCCAAGACTGGCAATTGGCGTTGCTTTCGTCGATCGAGATTGGCGCGGGGAGGAAAAATTGCACGGGGAGAAAAAATTGTGTGAGTCTTGAGTTATGTCAGTTGTAGTTTTGTTATCAATGGCGTATTTAAAGTTGAATGTTAGGTACTGTGAAATATGGACCCGAGTTGCTAAACCAGGAAATTACAATCGATGCCAAATCACTATCAGCACCTAAAGCACTTTAATATGGCCCTATCAATATCAAACTCTGTGCAGAAAACGAATTATTTGCTTTGCTGAGGCGTGCTACCATGCTACATTATCATTAGAGTTTATTTACATCAGTAACCGGTCACAAACGGGTTTCTTGGAATAATGCAGTGTGGAAATCCAAAAATTACCCCCCGTTTCTTTTCAAAAACAGTTTACAACTTCTCAGAAAAGTGTAATGTTTATAATCGTGTGAGGATCATGTTACTCCCGCAGGAAACGTTTCAGTATTGCTTGAGGAAGAAAATATTTCGTGGGTCTTCATTTCTGAACAACTGCCTCAAAATGGCGGTGATGTGACCGTTCAGAGGGCTAAATTGACTTTCTGCAGACTAAAATGTCTTCGTTTTTCCTCCTTCTATTGTTCCTTTTCTGTATTATTCTTCTTAGTCTGATTTTCTCATTCCACCAAACAGCTTTTATGAACGATTGTATTCAAAGTTACTCACTGTGAGACTCTTCTTTCCCATGATGCATCTCTTTTGGCCCAAGAGCATACTGGGTACCCAATCAAAATAAAGAAGAGTGTGTGGGGGGAGGGGTAGTTGAAAAAACTTTGAAGGAAACGTTTATGCAAAATTCAATGTTTTCTCATGAGCACTAATGGGTTTATCAGTAAAAAATACATTGCGATGGTTCCAGCATAGAATATCGTTTCAACCGAATAGTGCGTAAGCCC